AAAGTTCAGATAAAAATATGAAGATGTGTATAGGGACGATTTAATCATCATTTATTGAGGGATTGTAACACAAATGGTCATTATCATGACTACGGCTGTGACACATGTACTTTAGGTCAATATATGCAAGGTCAAGGTCACTAAAGATGGTGAAATATCCAGATTTTGTCCGGAGCATATCTCCTACATGTATGGAAGAATTTTTATAATACTTTATGGAAATGTTCACCACCATGATATGTATTGCTCCATGCATGATCCAGGTCTCCAGGTCAAAGGTCAAGGTCACACTTAGAGCTCATTGAAAAATGCTTGTCCGGAGCAAAACTTCTACATTCATAGGGGGATTTCAATATAACTTGGCACAAATGTTCACCATTGTGAGGCTGAGTGTCGCACGCAAAATTCAGATCCCTGCAACCAAAGTCAAGGTTACACATAGAGGTCAAAGTTCAGATAAAAATTTGAAGATGTGTATAGGGACCATTTAGTCATCATTTATAGATGGGTTGTAGCACAAATGGTAACTATCATGACTACAGGTGTGACACATTTAATTTAGGTTAATATTTGCAAGGTCAATGTCACTGGAGATGATTAAATATCCAGATGTTGTCCGGAGCATATTTTCTATATGCATGGAGGAATTTTAATGTTGCTTTATAGAATTGTTTACCACCATGAGACGTAGTGCCCTGCACATGAACCAAGTCTCTAGGTCAAAGGTGAAGGTCACAGTTAGAGCTCATAGAAAAATGCTTGTCTGGAGCAAAACTTCTACATGCATAGAGGGATTTCAATATAATTTGGCACAAATGTTCATCATAGTGAGGCTGAGTGCCGTGCATAAAATTCAGGTCCCTGCGACCAAGGTCAAGGTCACACATCCTGTGCATATCTTCCCTACTGATTTGTTTTAAGGTTCATTTAACAACACAGTGCCAAGAATAAAAACTTGCTTGCTAGATAACACTTATCCATATTGCCCCCATCTCCATCTAAAGCTTTCGTAAACGGGCGTATTTTGTGACTATGGCACCCTTGTTTATATTTCAAATCTTTATTTGCGTCATTTCTTGGTCCGTATTGAGTCTATTAAAGAAATTACACTTAACAATTCAGTGTAAGTGTTTGAAGTATGTACTGATATATTGTTTGAATTGTTAGTCCTGTGTTGCATATCTGATGTCTAGAGTTCAAAACCGGACATTGCATGATGGGTTAAATCTCTCTCAAACAAGGCATTTCTCATGACTAGATTTATTCTTACTGTGTCAAAAATTGAAACAACTATTTAGGTAAATGGTCTTCAAACCTTTCTCTGTATGGGAAACATGTATAATACCAAAAAGTTTCGATTTTTTCTCTCAAAATGTAACTTAAATATGTGACTGTATTAATGTTAGCAATGAAAATTTCAGGCTTTGAAACAATTATATCTTTGTTTCGAACAGATGTTTAACGAACGAACTTTTCGTATTTTATACGCTCGTATAACTGTTTAATGTGGAGGTAAACATAATTGCGTAAGGTTGAATGAACATTTGCATTTTTAAAGGTAATTTGAGCCGCGTCACGACAAAACCAACATAGTGCGTTTGCGACCAGCATGGATCCAGACCAGCCTGCACATCCGCGCAGTCTGATCAGGATTCATGCTGTTCGCTTACAGACCCTATAGCAAGTAAAGAAACTGATAGCGAACTGCATGGATCCTGATCATACTGCGCGGATGCGCAAGCTGGTCGCAAACGCACTATGTTGGTTTTGTCGTGACGCGGCTCATTTATTGATACACATACATCCGTATGTAATGTAATTGATCATGTTTGCTACAGTTGTTTGAAGGTCATCAACGTTAGTTGAAACGAAATGATGTTTTAATGTATTTACAAATGTCCGACGAAGAAGTTCAAATCGCGACGCAATACCAGTATCATATGCGGAGATGCCCGGAAATATCCGATGATTCACGATTGTTACACTCAGTAGCCAAGCCTTGAGAAATTAATGAATGCAAATTCGATTCAGATATTTGATAAAATACTGTCGATCGCCTGATTGCATATACCCTATTTGTAAACTTTTTATTTATTGCTTAAAAGTTTAATAAACCTAAGGCCAATTTAACGCGTGAATGGGAACTAAAACCTTAAATGTTATGGCAAAAAATCACAACATGAACGATTGTATGTATAGCGCTTTATTTATATGCAATCGAAACTTCATGGTGTTATATTGTTGATGCAACGAAAACTCATGGTTTGATACTTTACATGCATCATGCACTTCTAGCGAAATTAAATGAATGTTTAAAAATGTTAGACATCAACGCAATATGTATGATGTTGTAGTTTTATAAAAAAAGTGCTGAATGTTTTAATTTCCCAGTTGTCAGAACAAACATCGCCCTGGGCGTCCTTCACAATGAAAGTAAAACATCGTATTTATAATTAGAATTGTTTTGGCTATAAAAGATGTTTTGATAAAATTTAATACGGACGTAGACCGCAAAAGTATACGGTTATTAAACCCGAAACCAACTAAGTCAATGTGGGTTTTTGCATAACAAACCGAATGTTATTTATGTCGAATTAAAAAAACCCAGTATTATTGCTTTTCTTTTGATTAAAGTAAAATGAAAATCAATAAACACTAATGATTGTTTCCAATGGAAATGTACATTACAATACTTTGCAGCTATATGATTTTTGGTGTTAACACAGCTGGCCTCATTGTGTGGTGTCTAAGTAAGGGAATCTTCCATATACTCTCCGCTTCCCGGAGCCCAAGTTAAAGGGTTCTCCTGGTTTGTTTTCGTTAAAAATAATTCTATATAAGGGCTGCCATGGCACATTAAACTAACCGGGTTACACTATATTTAGGTGATTTGGGTGTATGTGTGTGGGGAGGGGGGAGGGCCCCCAGGAGCCTATATACGGTGTTCGTTAATTTTTGTAGACAAAAATATACATCCTATCATGTCTTTTTTTAAATATTATCATTATCTGTGCAAGAACTTTAATGGGCCGGTACTCACGCTGCCAATGCCAAATCTCCTTATTCCGTCCAACGAACCTCTTGCATTATCCATAAAATAAAAAGTTAATTCGTTGCTAATACACAACCCATTAAAAACCTATTTCAATCCTAAAACGGGCCAAGGGCTTAATGGTGACTTTTTTAACTAACAGCGGACCCTAAAAACTCCCTTTTCAACATCACAAACATGAAATTAAATCGATATAAGCCATAAAAACTGTAACTGTTGGATTCTGATTGCTTTTGTAACTCCCCTTTCCTTCAACAAATTATTCCCTTAATTCTTAATAAAACTTAATGGTAAAAATTTCAGATAAATTGAAATGCCGAAAGTTCCCCTTTTTTGAAGGTTACTTCCTTTTTATAATACACTAACGCGAAAAAAAGTACTGCGTAAAGATGGTCCTGACAGGCGCATTATTTTTTAAAAGGCAAATAATTCCTGATGGGCGAAGATTTCTAATATTATTTTATTTTTGTAACTCCTTTTTTTCCTCATTTAATTTTTCAAATTTTTATTCCCCGTTTTTACTTCAATTCTTAATATTTTTCTTTTAATTTTATAATTTTGTTATTTTTCAGGGCAAAGCAAACAAAATAATTTAAACCCGGGGCCCCATGAAAACGAATGTTTAATAACCCAATCCAACAGGGGGTTTTATAAAAAAACCAAAAATAGTACAATTTATTTATTATGAAGGTATTTTTTATAGAAAGAATTTTCCGTAAAAGTATTCCCATCATCATAATTCATAATAAATATGTTTAAAAAGACTAAAACAACTGGAATATACGTGAGATATGAAAAATTTTTGTAAACACATTAAGAACAACAGATTTTAAAAAAATTTACATAAACTGTTATTGTAGTTTATATTCAACCTTTTCTGCATTAGTGGAAATATTTTGATTATGTAGATTATGTTTATAAAACAGTATCTAATATCACGTGAAATGACTTTAGGCCTCATTCACACCCAGAATCTTATAATTAAACTGTACCAATTACAATTGTTATAACTCTTGGTGCCTTCTTGAAATAAATCAGCAACTGGAGCTGAACCTGCATTTAACAACGCATTACTATATTTGTCCGGTCTAATTATTTAACATATAAGCTAAGTATTTTGATTAGCAAATTAAGATTTCTTTAAGTGAATTTAAAAAAAACACCCTTATCGCTTTATAATTATGATAATGGGATTATAAATGTTTAGAAAACTCAAATAATGAACATATTTCAGTTAATTTCAAGTCATTAATGTTTTATACATAAATTGCCTAGCTAATGCTTGCTAGAAATTTTTAAATACTTACAATTCAGTTAAATATTGTGATATAATTGAAATAAAAATCGTTTTCTAGTTATATGTAATCAAATTGTAAATGTTACTGTTTATCATTGATTAATTTGCAGTAATATATAATATCATCGCATAGTGTGTAGCAGATATTGTAACTGACTTTCTTCAGTTTTACCACCAATGATTCATTTTGAAGCCATTGTAATAAACGTCTGATTATTAAACAAATCTTTCTGCAATCATATCAAAAATATAAGACATTATATCATCCTTAACAACATTTTAAACACTGGAATTGGATAGTATATACTGAATTCATTGCTTGATAAAGATTTTGTCCGTGATTGTTCACGTCACTATCAAAAACTTCAGCCACAAGTAGGAAATTCGTTGTTAAGTCAACTACCGACTGGTGCCGGTAAATTATTTTGGCATGACGAACAACGGATATTAAAATTTTTGCTTGATCCAAAAATAAATAAAAAATATATTTTTATCATTTAAAATCTTCCATTTGTTCGTATTTCATACCCCTGTGATTACATCAAACTTTCATATGTACACAAGTAAAGACAGTTGTATGTTTTTATAAAGTTACAATCGGAAGAAATACCAGCAATCTGAACAAAAACAATATAGGAAATCTAAATATCAAATTTTTAACGACCCTCATCAGTGTAAACGGAACGATCATATACATAGAGAGACAAGCGTCTGTGTAATCGTAATAGGAAGTAACGCTACAATAGGTATTTATTTATCCTGTTTTCTGAATAACATTTAAATGATTATATAATCTCTTAAGATCAGTTATTAAGATATTTAGCACGGCTTTTACAATTCATGAAATATACATGTTATCATGAAAATGTTACGTAGTCGATCTAATTCCAGTCAAGAAGAAATCGAGGGTCGTACCTAAATTGGTGACAGTCAAAATTAATACATGTACACGTACTTAGATTATACCGAGTTGCAAAAGAAAGGGACATTTGGTATACTTATTATAGCAAAATATAGCATATTTGGTATCAAAATTTGCAGAAATGTAATGACTGCACGATGGTTTACATTTAATTGAATTTTGATTACTAACTTCCGTTACTTAAAAACAGCAGAGGGATGAAAAAGAAAAGTTGCAGAATTGTGTCTTTTGTAAATGCGTTTTTGACGTTGGATACTTGAATTTTTAAATGGAACATCATTAAAACCGATGTCCATATATTGTTACGTCTGGTCCATGTAGTCTTACACATTTTCATTGGTCCATATATGACATAAACACAACAAATACTGATTAACGGTCATATAACGAGACAGAAAAAACGTTAAAAACCACGGTTCTGCAACTTTTACTTTTCACCATTCCGCTATCTTTTCGAAACAAAAATTCTGAAATTACAAATTAAACCATTGCATGGTCTATACATTTAATTATTCACCAAATTTGCTACTATTTTGTTCATGTATGAATATATAATTTCCAAGTTACCAAGTGCGCTCTTTCTTTTGCAATTTAGCATATGATATAAATAATAAATATGTTATTGTATAATGTAATTACACTTATGTCCTTGACAAAGATTGGCCTTTAGACCTATTTACCGGATGACCTTAAAATATTAAAGATGGAAATGCAAAACAAAGATACTAGATCTATATAAGAAACTTATAATACAAATAAACTTAACAAAAAACCCTTTTATAATCTTTAAAAGAGATTGAAAATAATATTATTTACTTTTGATTCAACAAAATTTCTTTTTATTTCGTTAATTGTAATTTTATTTACGCCTGCGCTCAAACTTGACCTTTGAATTTTATTTATACGGATCTCCTATCATAAAAACTTTGGACTTTCAGCTATCCTCAGATACCAACAATGGCTCTCGGGATTGAATGGCTTCTTATTCTCGGAGCATTGGGAGTCGGTCAAATATACGTCTCATATCTGTACCTTTTTAATGTAACACCAGGTATGTCTACACTGACTGTTTAAAATATAGGCTGTATTGTTTTATTATTTCTTATTTTGTTTATATTTTAAGTTAAGGATAGTAAGTACAATCTAGTGGGAAGTATAAAGTTCAAGATGTATGACTAATGAGTAGATTATATTACCAGTGTGATGTATTTTGCATGAAAAAGAGTCCGAATAATGGCTTAACTTTGAAATTTCCAACTGATTTCCGAAATCTTATCTGAAATGGTAAATAACTGTTCCGATCAGCTCAATTTTAAGGCATAAATGGCGTTTATATTATATGTTTAAAAAGAATAAAAGCAAAAGTTTAACTGAAAGTTTTTTTATGCTTTCAATTTCCTGCAGCTATAAATAAACGAGGGATACATTGTCAGTTGCATGGAACTTAGATGTCTGAACTTTGTTACGCATATTTGATGAGAGTGAATAGTTAAAATAAAATATATTTTGTTGCAGAGAAGAAATTCGAGGTACCATTGTTATGTTACTTTGCACTCGAAGCTGATTGGCCAGATAATGGGACTCTTCATCCTGCGATGAACGCCACTCTCTGTAAGTTTTATATTATATGTCCGTCTGTACGATCAATTATTGAAGCATTTCACCAAGTTTTGACATCTCTGTATGATATATTTAGTAAATATCTTAAATAGCATCAGTGTTTTAAAGAAATCCGAAAGCTGTTAGTGTCTCACAAAGACATTTACCAAATTGAGAGTCCTTTTTTTTATTCCAGTTAATCTCGAAAGATATACTATTTTTGTGATATGTTTAATTTCCAATAGATTCTGACTGAATTATTTGGTCGAAAAACATAAAGGAATAATGTTTTTGTAATATGACTTTTCTCATTTAATCAGGTACACATCTTATCATGATCAGCTCACATACAAAGGATTGTATTTTAATTCCGGCTAGCCCGGATGATCCTCATAAATACTTCAGAAAAATCCCCATACTTCGGAAGCAGAATCCTAAACTGAAAATAATGCTGTCGAATGGAGGTGGTGGGCCGGAAGGAATGACGGAAATTCTGGGATCAGAGGCTAATACGACAAAGTAAGTTACGAAATAAACCTTTCTAAGCTCGTGAAAATTCGGTATAGCTCGTAAAACATAGGAATATTTTGTCACGAAATAAGCTTTGATAACGATTGGGAGGTGGAAGTATAAAAACTAGCTTTTTTTAATTTTCTTGTTTATACGAGATAATCAGTTTTAATAATCAGAAATACGCCTGGGTTAATTTTGGTCAGTTTTATAGTTTGTCTTGATATCCATGTGGTAATTTAATGTTGTGCTATTGTTTTAATGTTGTTATTATTGTTGTTGTTGTTGTTGTTGTTTTAGAGGTGGGGTGATTAGCACTTTTATTATGGTGCAGTGTTTTGATATTTAGTTCACGATCCCAGTTCGTGAACACAATAATGAATATAATTCTTTTTTTCCCGTTTGAAGATATATCAATAGCATCTTACCGTTTATGAAGAAGTATGACTTTGATGGTATAGACATGGACTGGGAGTTTCCTGGCTGGAATGGTCTACCAAAAGGTCAAAGGGGAAATTTTACTAAAATGTTACAGGTATTGAGCTTTCATTTCTTTTGTGATGACTTTGTAAGATTATTCCTTCTTCCTATGTTACTGATAAAATACATTTTCATTACTTTTGAAAGGGCAATTATGTGTATCATTCAAGTAATTGTTCAAAAATATGACAGATGCTTTTTACCGGAAAAAGTACCCATAAACGTGAACATGTATACATTGTATATGTCACAAAGGTAACAAAATGCAAACAAAGTAGTTTTTTGGCTTCCATACAAATAGCTAAATCTCTATTATTACAGAAAAGGAAAGAAGCAAAGCACGTTTCTGGTGTATCTTTTGGAAACTATATCATGGCGCCAAAAGAAACCTTTGATAAATAGCATAAAAGCATGTCTTGGGCATAATGGGCCTTTAAGCATCTTTTATAATATTTTACTGTTTAAACAGTTAAGCATCTTTAATAACCATTGTATTTTTTTACTTAATCATTAACATATAATTTTATATACGTTATAGGGTTGATTGTTGATTATATATATAAATGTTTCTGCAACACTTCTTAGATAAATACTTAACAATGTTTTTGCTATTTTTCTAGAATGTGCGAAACATGTTCGACACGGAAGAGAAAAAGAGCGGCAGGAAATATTTATTGTCGGCTGCGGTGGCGGCCGGACGAGCTGTCATGGAGATATATGACGTGCCAGCCTTAGCGCGGTAAAATAAATACAAATTTAACATTTATCAATGATTTATCTGATCAGTTATCATATTTTTAATGGACTTGCATGTTTGTCTTTCAATCTGGACACTGTCAATTTAGGGAAATTGACTGAATAGAAAACAGTGCAGACTATGATCAGACTGCACGGACATGCCGGTTGATCATGATATGCACTGGTCGCATGGGTAAATCCAGTTGCCGGTAGAGTTAATGAAAATGCTATTTGAATTGATCAAATTAAAAGTAAGTTATTTCATTTATAAATACAGAAATTATTTTAGTTCGATTGTATAGGATGCTATAAGCTTATAGACACCCTTTCGAGTCCGTTCCTGGAACCAACCAGTACTGAGCAATAAGTGTATAGTTCCTTGCTCATTGAAACAAGAACTTGAAAATCTGTACGGGTACGTCTATTGCAATAACCCAATTAATTATAATTAAAATGATAATCAAGTTAAGCAATGCTATTTTATTTACTTTATCATTATTTAGTTCGTTAGATTTTATCAACCTCATGTGTTACGACTACCATGCCTATGCGATTTATGATCCGGTGACAGGGTACAATAGTCCACTTTATCCAACTGACTGGCAGAAGAAAATTGTGATACGATCCGGCAACGTGGTAAGTCACGATATATATATCCGGAGTTATCATATCTTTTATTAGTTATTGTTCTTTGTATAAATTTCTTTTCAAAGTTTGCATACTTTTTTATCTCTTCGCAGAAATGAAATCACATCTCTAGACAGAGTGGTTTTTCCTTTTCACAAACTTTACATCCTTGAGTTCTTTTTCACATTCTTCATACATAAACTAGTTACCTTTTTTCAGAATGTTTAAGTAGAATGATCTTTCCTTGAAACAATCACAATACAGGATGACTATGTCTATGCACAATGTTTTTGTGGAGGAAAAGTTGGCAACTCACAACTCACATGTTATTAACAACTTAGATAATATCTAATAGATAAGATAAGATATAAAAATTAAAACTTGAGTTTGTGATTTTTGTTTAATTTAATACAAAGAAATAGTTCTTACATTTTTGGCATTGTGATAAGTTTCTTATATATAATATTTACACTTTGTCTTATACTTGGACAATTATGTAAATCATTCAAAACTGGTTATAGTCAAATTATATTAATCTCAAAGTTTCACAATCGTACATGTGAACTACTTTTAGTGCCGCCGAGTATAGAAAATAAATTCTTAAAGTAGTGATATTTGGCTTGTGAGCAGGAAAATCAACACATATAGCATTATAAAACGAATAGGTCAAATGTTTAAATCATATTTTTATTAAATAGGGATGGTCATCTTACGAGTGGCATAAACGTGGAATGCCAAAATCTAAGATAATGGTCGGAATACCTACATATACCCACACCTGGACGCTAGAAAAGCCGGACATATATCATGGACATGATGCTCCGGCCACTGGACCCGGCAAAGGTTGTGACGAATGTTCGTACCCATGGGTATGTGTTGTGGTGTCACTTTCTCATTACGAGGCTGATCTTTTTGTAATCCGACTATAGCCTATTTGCAAAAAAACCCTCAATTTAAATATGATTAGAATATGTAAGTCAATAGCTTGACGTGTAGTTATATTCCTTACGGTTCTGTTTATTACTGAATTATTGCATGCGCACAAGTACATGTAGTCGGTAAACAACAATTAGAAACTCATGCCAAAGTTCATACCTGAAATTTATTTCTTTATATTTGCATGAGAAAAAAGCAAGATATCTTTCTAATATTTTCCCAAGCCCTTTAACTTTCTATGGTATCGAATTGCAAGTATATTAAAAACAAAATGAATGATTTGTATATAGACGAACAATTGCTAAAAAAAATTTTCTAAACGAATGTTAAGATAGTTTTGTATAATATACTGCAGGTATGCGAGTTTCTGAAATCGGGGGCGACAGATGTGTTTGACACGGATGCTGCAGTACCGTATGCTTATAATGGTGACCAGTGGGTCAGTTACGACAATGTGAATAGTCTAATAATGAAGGTACGGGAGTTACTTCCCTTTAAGCTATTTTTCAATGCAATCGTGATTTTTAAAAAATATGAAGCCTCAGCAAGTTGAAATTGCTCATGTAAGTTGGTGTCCTTGATATGTTGTAATAATCAAATGAAAAAAAAATCTTTAAGAATAACTAATTTCGATATTCTTATGAAATTGAATAGTTATTATCATTTTCTTAAATTGGATCATTATAAAATTAACCCATGACCTGTCCATTACCACTAGTTTAGAGCCAGGCCAGCCTGCATATCTACATGTGCAGTTCAACTAGGCTCTATAATGTTGTCTAACTATATTCCTCTTTTATTGTATCTAGATATCCTCAATAACATGGACAATTTTAAAATGGAATCTTAAGAAATTCGGCAGGTTAAGGGTTTATACAAGTTTTATAGTTGATATTTAAAAACACATAATGATTGAAGGAATAGCTTTTGACGGTATAAACCAGGCGACATTGTCTATGACATAAATTAACAGCTTTAACATAAAAAATTAATATCGCATGAATGTTGGAAAGTTTTGCTTATTTCTTTCAGTCTGAATGGATATTACAGAATGGATTTGGTGGTATTATGGTGTTTTTCTTGAACGCTGATGACTTACATGGTGTGTCATGCTCGCAGGGAAAATTTCCTCTTATATCAGCTATAAAGAAAACCATAGAAAATAACACAAATAGTTTAATATAGTGAAACTATATTTCTTCTGTGAGTGACTAAACTTGAAAATATTTGCTACAATTAACCTTTAAGGTTAACAATTATACATGTATTTTGATTCAAATTTTACATATGCAAATTTGTAAAAGACATCATGTGAGTTTATGTTAAACATTCCAGATATCAACTTCCGTTCTTATCATGATTTTTCAAATTCACAAACTAGTGTGCTTATAGATTTTATGTGTTCATGTGTATGGGTCGGTGGCCTGAATGGAAATTTGAAATAAACTTATATACGAAACTGTGACTGGAAGAAACGAAATGAAAAGCAATGTATGATATTTCTCCAAGGGATATGTTTACAGATGCATCAAAGTTTGTAAAAATGTGTGTCAGGGGAGAACAATGCTGTCTATGATATAATGAACTCATATTGTGATATAGAAAGACATTTATGACATATATTTGTGTTTCAAATACTCATATCTGCATATAGAATGTATAAACTACATTGTAATTCCTTTTATTGTTATTTCAAAGAATAGTGTCACAGTTGATAAGATTTGATCACTGTAGGGACCAGCCTTTGTATTTTAACTTGTACTTTTCTTGCGAAAACCGGAAATAGACTCGTTGATTTTTTGTGTTCAAAGAAACATAATTTATGTGTTCAAAAGAGCAAAATAACAAAAAAAAATGGGATACATACTTCGAACAAAAACATGACAGATGGAATTGTTTTATTTTTAGGGATACATGTGTAGTTTCAGAAATCTAGTCAAATATTGTCACAATATTTAAATCTTGCCTGTTTTTATGCCCCCGGGCATATAGTAATTGAACCGTCCGTCCGTCTGATCGAGCAAACATTTTGGGTTTAGGGGCTATATAACAGTAAAGAGAACAAAAGAGAACAATAGGTTCATTCCGTGATCAAAGGGTTTATGGGCTAGTAGCCCTTAAGAAAACAAAGAAAATAACAAAGAAAATAGCCCCTAAACCCAAAATGTTGGAACGTCCGTCCGTCCGTCTGTCCGTACGAGGTTAACCTAGAACGGCAAGTTGGATTTTTCTTAAGTTCTACCTGTACCAATGGCTTCATAATTTACACACTTACTAATCCATACAAAGTATATGATCTGGGCAAGTTACATAACTATGGCTTCCATTTGCACCAAGTTATGGCCCTTTTCAGCACTTAGAAAATGAATAATGGTTAACCTAAACCGGCAAGTTGGAAATATCTTATGTTCTATCTGAACTAATGGCTTAATAATTTTCACACTTACTTATCAATACAATGTACATAATATTGCCAAGTTATATATATGTGCCATCCATTTTCCCAGTAATTTCCCTTTTTATCACTTTGAAAATAGGGCCTTGTATGGTTAACCTATTCCGCCAAGTTGGATTATCAAAAAATTTCACCTAATTACTTAATTTATTTAAATTAAACGATATCTTTCATATTTGGTAGGTGGATACATGTACCTTTAACGGCCCACTGATTTTTTGTGGCGTTAGGCGTCTCTAGGTCAGGGTCACTTGTGTAAAAAAATAAATCTAAACATTTCTGCTCATACAGCATTTATTTTTAAGTTAATGCCTTTCATGTTTATAATAGTCATACCAAGGGAGGTCCTCTTCCTTTTCCTTTAGTAAGGGGTCATTTGGGTCAAGGTCACCAATGTCAAAAATAGATTTTTTACACTTTTACATGTGTATTAACCTTATTCTATCGACACATGTCTTGTATATTTTGTAGGAACATAAAATTCTCATTTGGATGGAGGTAGGGGTTAGTTGGGTCAAGGTCACCAGTGCTAAAAATAAATTTTTACACTTTTGCTCATACAGCCTTTATTTATTGACAGATTTGTATTATAATTGGTAGGAAGATAACTTACATGGTATTCTTCCTTTGGATGGAGTAAGGGGTCAGTTGGGTCAAGGCCAACAGTGCTAAAAATAGATTTTTACACTTTTACCCATACAGCCTTTATATATTGACATATTTATTTCATAATTGGTAGGAAAATAAGTTGCATGATATTCTTCCTTTGGATGGAGTTAGGGGTCAGTTGGGTCAAGGTCACCAGTGCTAAAAATAGATTTTTTACACTTTTGCCCATACAGCCTTTATTTTAAATATTGTTACTGACAAGAATCTGAGCCGAGGGCATTTGTGTTTAACAAACACGTTCTTGTTTGTATATATTATTGAACATTTATTGACCGGGATGACCAAAATACCCACAGAAACTTATGGCGCAACAGTCGCAGCGGACTGCAAAATTTGAATATACTAGCAGGTCAGAATTTGTACACAACTTTAGTGTTTATTTGTATAAATGCTTATTGTGCATATATTCTGTCATTAACAAAAATCACTCAAATGTACCGAAAATCAGGTTGAATTATACACACGTGTTTGTCTTTTTTCAGATTTTTTTTTGTATTTTATATGATGATAATAGGGTATTCATTATAATTTCACATTTTGTAAGATTTTTTTTTCAGAATTGTGGATATTGTTTTTTTTTTCTTCTTAAAACTGACATATCAACGGAATTAAATTTTCCGGAGATGTGTAACTTTAATAACTAGCCATAACTTGGTCATGGGAAAAGCTGCGGGGCAACATGAACCATTAAAAAATTGTCTTTTGTTATTTTACATGCCACAATCATGCAAATAAAACAATTAGAAATCTTACTATTATTGTTACTTTTATTTTACATGTTACAGCAGATACAATAAAAATGTTTATTTTGTGAAATTTTCCTTTTAAAAAGGTATTTATTGTGAAGAGCTTTCCTTTAAAAATAAAAACATAACTTATTGAACCTAGAACTTATTAAAAAATCGCTTCCTGATACTGACTAAAATTGTATTGTTTCTTTATGTAGTTCGGTGACATTGAGTTGTGGTAGGATTAAAAAATTTCAGTTGTCATAATATCAAAAAAATGGTATATCTGTAGTGAAATATATTTGGAAACCTTTTAGGAGAAGACTCTATTGATGCAGGACACTAGTTTCACCGGTGCCGTAAAATTCGGATCGGGTGCCAGTAATACTTCAGATGCAAACAGAATACAGCTTCTTCATACATCATAACTTAATTTTAAATCTTATTTTCAATGCATGGGTTATATCATAATGACATGTACGGGCTGCAGAAACCATAGCAGTTTTATAATGTCTAGAACAATTGAGCCGTGTCACGACAAAACCAACATAATGGGTTTGCGACCAGCATGGATCCAGACCAGCCTGCGCATCCGCGCAGTCTGATCAGGATCCATACTGTTCGCTATCAATTTCTTTACTTGTTATAGGGTCTGTAAGCGAACAGCATGGAGGCTGATCAGACTGTGCGGGTGCGCAGGCTGGTCTGGATCCATGCTGGTCGCAAACCCATTATGTTGGTTTTGTCTAGAACAATTTCATTCAAAGGCAGGATTGAAATCTGTATTAGTAAAGTACATATTTATAAGTATATTTAGATATAATTACTGTCGTTTTTTTTTTCACTAGTTTTTGTAAACTTCAAGCCTTTCATTATCGTTAGATACTCCGTCAAGCCCAGATGTTTCTTGAAAATATTTCATAGGTGCTAGTTTAAAATAAGCCGTACAGTTAATATCCCGAGTTGCGAGTTGGTTATTGCTATTATTTAGTCATATGCAAAATAACATGGACTTTAAAAAAGTCAACATTTTCACGTACGTTACATGTACGGGAATGATTTTTTTTGTATTAAAATGATAAGTTGTCTTTTGCATTTTGTTATGGTCGTCTCATTTCGCTTTAAGGTAATTTATTTATTTTTCTCAACACTATTTACCCTTTGGTTAAATACATGTTTTGTCTCTATGTAACCTAAATATCTTAAACGGACTTGTTTATTTTTCAATATGGACTGAACCATTTAACTTTAATAGGGAAAAAATCAAAATATGAATCGAGTATCGAGCAGTACAGATTATGATCAAGCGGCACAAATGTGCCAACTAATCTTGGCCTGCACTGGTAGCATGCGTATGATATTTTGCCGCCAGAATTAAGTTTCTACGTTACCAACAAAAACTCCAAATACATTTTCACAATTTATATTACAACACCGTAGTGAAGATTTTTATTTCGAAAAATATTTTTTAATAATAATAATAGGCACAAAATAACTTTGAAGTATAGTACTACTTTTTCAGTTGTTTCCTTTTCTCTCATAAATTAAAACTTTTTTAAAGAATGTATGTAATGTATATATTTTGCATAAAAAATCTTATAAACTACTTATAATAACATCTAAAATAACAAATAATTCGCAGGACATAAACGAGGAAATCCAATTCAATTTAAACGAAATAGTTATTCAATATGACATTAAAATCCCTTAAAAGTATAATCACTATGAACTCCTTTTGTTGTTTGTATTTCTATAATTTTCAATTAAGTTTTCTGTTTCACGTAACACAATGCGTGTCAAAGCTTTAACGTTTCAAAATTTAAAATAATAATAAAAAAAACAAATTTAAAATTCAAACATGTCATCAAATGCGTCATTGTTAGCGAGAAGTGCCCCCGTTAAAAAGTTGTTATAAGGCATGAACCTCGGTCGTGGTACAAAAGGTCTTCTCTGTGGCCCTTGTTGGTGTTGTTGTTGTTGTCCTCGCATCCTTGCCATCATCAGCTCGCGCACTGGAAAAATACGAGAAATTTTGTATTTTAAATTATCTGCGATAATTTTTTTTATGAAGGAGTGGTGTCGGATCGCAAGTTCAAATCCCATCAGTTCTCTTTCGGTTTGCACAAGCCACAAAACACCGAGGATTCAACCATCTGATGTCTAGGTTCCCGAAATGAGATTTGGCATAAATGGGACAAGACAATAGTATATGTTAGATAACTATACATGTAATAATTTATAGATATAGATACATTTTTTGTATGTATAAGTAATGTAAGTATATACAGAGGTATGAGGAGTGTCCAACTGTGAATAATCTAGAACGTTACGTTGGTAAATATTGAGAAAACAAACGATGAAATGAAGGTTATCGGATAGATATATACATCTTTGATTTACATTGAAACCACATTCATTAAAATCCGTTCACTTTAGCTGCATTGTCTACTCGTGTCACTGTACCACAAAAAATGGTTGGTAGAAGATAAGAGTATGCAATTGAAATACGGCCTTAAAATCTCCTTGGCATAGGGTGTTAAAACAGTTTTTATTAAATCTGTTTTATATGCAGTTATTCTTTGGTTTAATAAATTCAAATGCGGGATTATTGCGACTCAGGATGCATCTCGTGCCCGTCGGCCTAAAACAACAACGATTGTCAGACAGTTACATAATTACAATGCACGATCTCTTTTGCAAATGACGTCACTGACAGCAAATCAAGATTTTGGCTACAAAGTCTGGCAAAAGACCAAGCATTGCAAAAAAGACCATCAATTTAAAAAAGGTTATGTATGCCATTAACTTTACAGCTCAGGATCCCTTCATTCAGATTGCTGTTCGTAAACGAAAATCTGTTTATGCTAAATTTCACAAGAAAACTTTTCGAAAACTACACAAATACTCCCGAAAACAAGTTTGACCAATGCCAATTTGTTGCATGACTCAGTTCTGCAACACTCCAGTGCTTTTATAGTATATTTAAAAAAGAAAATCTCTTCAAAGATTTGACCCGTAGGCTGAATGTTGAAGCGGGGAAAAATAAAATAGTGAAACCTATGAAGAATCAACAAATTTTACGTGCTTAGATGCATTCATATTTGAAACTTCTCGTAAAAATATCTTTGAAATCATTATATCTATAAATAAAATATTTCTGCTAAAACGCAAAAGAGGAAAACTAATTGATTCAATTCTTATATTTCTGAAATATGGTAAACGAGAATCATAATAGTGAGTAACAATTGTTTAAAAAAGTTGTTGAGTTATTGCTGTGCGCTGCATAAATAGTTTTTCGCGTAGCTAGAAAATAATGCAGTAGCATTAATCGGACCGTACATGGATAGTTTTATTTTACAGTTAAATATTCTAAAATTATATTCGTTTTCGTATAAAAAGGTTAATGAATAATGTTATATATAACATATAAGTCAACGAGAACATTTAATGAACAGAAAAAACAGATAATTCAATATCTTCCGGCTAAATACGTTCATTGCTAAAAACAAAAATATTCACGACTTAAACATGAAATTTAGTATAATTAAATACGTATGATTCTCATCTAAATGATGTAATTAAAGATTTTCCTAACTTTTTTTGCATGTAAACATTATTATTAACATATCGGCCATGTAGTTATTCCCAGTGACACGTGGTCAAAACGCCTTCCAAAAACAATACATCTTTTCAGGCCCGGTAACGTAACCACTGAGTTTATATTCAACGTTAAGTTCACGTTTTATACATACGTTTAAAAGGCCATTATGATTTTTTTATGAGAACATTTCTAAAGAATTTAATCACAGTCAGTGCAAAATAACCTGGGAAACCGTTGTTTTATAAGATGTCGCAGGACAAGAAAAAAAACCCGTCAGAACTGAATTCTTAGTGAGTAAATACAGATCTGAAATTTAATATTAAGTTAAAATGTTCAGTCGATGTTTTAACAAAAAAGAATTGATTCGTTTTACGATATTTGATGAATACATCATTATGAAAATCATGAAAACAATTTGAAGAACCTGAGAACAGTTAACTTTAAAGAAAAATGCAATACATTTTGGCATAATATAAAAGCGCACTATAATAATAATTATAGAAATTTTATTAAATCGTTATATAATATGATAAATGTTTTTAACTTACGATAATTCATATTATTCACTCTATTGGTCTTGTCGGGAGTTGGGGCGGCTACCTGGGCATTCACGTGGTACAAAACAACCAATAAAAACGCCAAAACAAAGAATAGTTTCATGGTGGAAGTTTGGGTAATCAAGTCTGTAAAAGAAAACGCAAACAAATTATCAACCAACCCTTCAAAGGATTCCAATCTTACTTTTGAGCTCTGTATTTTTTCTCAGTTACTTTTTTGTTATGGATTGTTTTGAACTTTACCGTAACGGCACAATTCTTGGACGAACAGGCAGATTACCATTGTTCTACTGTAATGACAGAGCCCTTCTATTACTTACATAAGCTTCCATTTTTTACATTTATGTTTAAATGTTATCATTACCCTGATAATTTTTCTGAAAAAAAAATCCAATTATTTCTAATTTAATATCATAACTTTACATCAACAGGTTGTCAACTTTTCGATCAGAATTTATATAAATAAATTTCAAATAGAATCTACACTTACTTTTCTGCAACTGTTGTATATATAATGTCCGTCTTATTTCAAAGTAAATCCACAAGTGGCCGATTGCCCGCCTCAATTAGTAATTAACTAAAGCCACTGGGGTTATTTTATGTTTCATTTAAACGTGAATAATGCGTCACGGAAAGATACGCCTGTCCAACAGAAATTCCCATCATTAACTTAATGAAAACATATCATTATGATGACCCTATATTACGCCTTTTACATTTGTTTGCTCCAAGAATTAATCCTCATATGAACTGAAAATTATCTAGTATGATATACACATTATAAGGTAGGCTTAGTCCAAATGAACGAAGTCACGAAAACATCTTTTAATTTTTCAGAAGCAAACGATGTGTATTGATTAAGTGAAAATACCTTTGTGACGCCATTATTCACATACATAATCTGTTGAGATACTCACGTCTAAAGAAAATTCAACGGAATAACGGTTTATCTGTTAATTCTTATTTCTAAAATAAAATAAGAATGTACTAGTATTTGTGCTTCAGTCAATAATACTCCACAATAATTATGAGAATATAAAGGTAATACATAGATGGTCCTATATAAATAGTTTCAGTACAGCTCATGATATAAATCTTTTCCGTACAGCTCATGATATAAAATGTTTCAGTGCAGCTCAAGATACAAATTGCTTAAGTACAGTAAATGATATAAATCGCCTCAGTATAGCTTATAATATGAAACCACTACAACAGATATCACTATGTTATAAGACATCCTTAGCAGTGGTTACTATTTAAATTTTCTTAAGCAAAGTGTTTATTATAATATAAAATCGCATCAATAGAATGTGCTGTGCGATATGCGTCAGCATACATTAATGCATGAATGTTTGATATGAAATGACAAACCGGGAGATCACCACGGTTGTATTAAAATGTTTTAATACAACCGGGGCGTGCACCGCGCTACCTTCATCCGGGAACAATGAAGCCCAGAAACCGTATTTCTGTCGAGCTAATGGCACAAAACCCTGGCAATTTCGCCTTGAGGAACCAATTTCGTACCGTATACCGCATCCCATACATGTACACAGAAACTGTTAAGAAGTCCTTCTTTTTATGTTGTGAAGCACAGCCACAGTTTTCCCAACCTTGTCCTTCCTTTCACTTTTTCTTTTTGGGTGGCATCTCTATGTCTTTTAATACCAAATGATGAATCAAACTTGAACGAGAAGCATCGGTGCACTACCGGGCGTCACCGGGATAGTACCGGCATCACCCATAGCCTAGCCTTGGCGAATTCGGCGATGATCGAGATTGACCGTGATGAAACCCTGTTTAATCGGGTCTCCAACGGGATCAACCAGGAATACATCGGGTTAGCATCGACACTCATCTTATATATATACATGTATATCCGGTGCTATATCGGGTACTGAACCGGGAATACATCTGGGCTCTAACGGTGATGAGTAAATGCAATTTGATTTTTCAGAAAAACACCACGGAACACCCCGGTTCACCTTTTTAAAAACACCGCTGCGATACCATGGCTATTACCGGGATAGTGTAAATGGGGTTTTACCAACGTTTAGTATGGTGGCTTGTTGTGACATATTTCTTAGATTTCCCTTCATAAAAATGTTAAACTGATGTCCCAAGTAGCGGCAACCAAAACATAGTTCAGTGTATTCAGGGGGTTTGTTAATAATTTTCAGTATTCTGTAAGTATGTAGCAAATAATGAATTATGCATGATTTTGTTTGTCTTTCCATTAAAATCATTCATCTTTTGACCACGACATTTATTTGAACTAAAATACAACATGTCAGGCTCTTTATCCAATCTATCACTGCATGGCAGCTGTAAAACATTGCCCCGTACTTCACAGTGTTGTTATGTTTTTTCTAGACCGGTTTTCTTAAGCCGGTGCTTCTGGGCTTGAGAGATGTTACGCTTTACATATCTTTCAAGAAAAGACACCAAACAGAATCTGCAAGTTTTAGCTATTAGTTTTGTTTTTGGCACTAACCACTAGAGTATTTCCCAAATGTTTTGTTAATTTTGAGTTTAAATATTCTTTATATTAAATGAATATCTCTTTGTATAACATACATATTATCTTAAGCATCTGTTTCAGAGGCATCGTTCATTTCATTAAAGATGCATCTAGAAAATATTGCGGCTGATAAACGCTATTTACGTATTTTTGCTTTTTCACCATGAAAAAAAGAAAAGAAAATAAAGTAAAAAAATAATAATAAACTGCGTTTCAAAACAGGTCGTGATAAAATCGGCAGGTTTTCCCATTTTCCTTCTCGCATCACGTCCAAAATGTTGAAATGATAATAAATGAGTATTTTAGACTTAAAAATAATAAAGAAATGTTGTTTTTATCATAAATGTTGGCATATTTTGTTAAACATGTTTAATATACGATATCTTCGTATATGGTACCATATATTATCAACATCTCATGCAACACGGTTTGACATTGCACACTGCCAACACGGACCCAAGTTGCATTGGGGGTACTTAAGTTTTAATTGAAAACCTGGCTTCTCTCTAACGGGGATCATACGGGAAGCTCAGCATGGTCAAAGCTCCGATCAACAAGGATTTACTGTCCTGTATTTATTTTAAACCAGTTTTGGCCTATATTCAAGTATTTATTTACGTATCTTTTTTATGTATGAAAATTCAACAAATCAGGGCGCCGGGGTGGGGATGGGGAGATAGTGGGGTTCTGACAACCTTAGACCCTATTCAAACTAAACCTCTACCCTGATCGAGTCGTGTCTGTGACATGATCGGGAGTCTACCCGCAATTGAACAAGTCAAATCCCCTGAGTAGTCAGACAGCACAAATTAAATGGTGTCAGGCAATCACAATAACCCAAACACATTGAATTGTATAGTCGTGCATTAAATGATACAATGATTTCGTTTATACACTGTGAAATAGATACCAACACAATATGGATAGTCAAAAAAGTCCTGATTTGGTATCCTGCTTTATTAATAGATATAACAATTCATTTACTTTTTATCCTACTACTACAGAGCTTTGAAAGTTTTCCTGCAACAGGAAACCAGAGAACATGCTGTAGTTGAAACCATAAATCGGTTTGTCAGCATCGATGTTCTGTATGCCAACATCATCTCCCTTAACAAGATCTAGAACAATTGTTTGACTTGTTGTGTCATAACCTCCTTCTCCACCGCTCACGTACATCCTCGTTATCATTTGACCATTCTTCACAAAGTTCGCGTGGTAGTTAGTGTGGTAATGTGAGAAAAGTGTGGCCGAAAACACGTATGTACCGGGTACCGGTGCAATAAATGACCCGAAATGGTTATTGTAGGCATTGCCGATGTTCGTGACGACGTTATCAAATGCTATTGGTTGATTAGCAGACAAATGATTTAAATGATTGTTGAGGGTAGCAAAGAATGCAACAGGTGATTCATTTTCCGCACGGCGGATTCTTTGGGTTTTCATCACTGAAATTTAAAAAAGCAACCAATGGTTAGCAAATAGATTTTATTCAAACAGGAAATTCTAACATTATCATTCCTTTGATGTGGTGACACAAACGCTATGAATTGTTTTGTGTTGTTTATTCTTCTCCCGTTATCCTTATATGCACGGGATTTTTAACCTTAACTTTATCAACTTAATTTAAATGACAGTTCAGTGTTTAATTTTTATGTCTTCTTTTTTGGCAAGTATTTACTGTATTCAACACACAAATGCAAACTGTAATTTCAAGAATTTTCATTCTTTGCACAAAAAATAACAACATTTTTCACAATATAGATTTAACAAAATCATATATATTATACTGTATATTTCGACTGTTAATTACAAATTTCATACATAATTGAAAATATCTTTCGGAGAAAAATAGAAAAAGAATGTTTAAACATACTTTTGTGTGATTGTATCGATGAATGCTTAACATTGATGTCTGAATTATTTGGTACATCAGATTCCTTGTCAGTGTTTCCGTGTGAAGTGTCAGACATTCCATTGTAAAGATGTTTGACCAGTCTTTCAAGAGATGTGGTACGTTTTGTTTGTACGGCAAGTTGACGTCGCAGTTTGTCCAATTCACGTACATACATCGTCTCACGTGTTTTCTCTCTGATTTCAAGTTGTTTCATACGTTCAAGAATATCTGCAAGCTTTCCACCAGCTTCAGGGCCTTCATTATTCAAATTAGCATTCAGATTGGCATCAACAACATTATTTTTTGTTTCCGAATTCATTACATCTGTTTCAGAGGTACCTGTACCTGCGGATGTAGCCAGCATTCCACATAGCAAAACTACCGATATATTTAAATCCATTCCTTCATGTGTTAAAGTCAATGCAAAATATTATTTTAAAGTTTGGACTAATTACGTTTCTTCCGACAGCAAAGATAAGATAATATATGATTACCTACATTAAGCACTCGTTGATAAGGAATTAGTTGACTGTGTAATAAAAACCTGATGTTTTGTTCTTAACGGTGTCGGTAACAGTCCTTAAATGTTTTAATACTGAAGAAGGTTTGTAATATAATAAATAATAACATTGATAGTATTTTGTATTAGACATAATAAAAAACCACGAACAATTACTCATGGATGTTGTTGACAATTGTGAGATACAGGATCTGATATTACATATATTATATAGCAGATAATAAATTGTACTAGAACAAAATATTATCATTCATCATAAGATGCATGTTCATACGCAATGTTTTATTAGAAAATCAAAATGAAAATTTTCTATAGCTTTTTATCAATATTCATGGAAAATATGCCCATTGTAGACCAATTCACTTTAAAACTTAGGTAGGGAGAAGCAATTATTAACGTTTTAACACCATACCTAGAAAACAGGTTGCCTGATCCTAACTGTTTATTGGTCAACAGGTCAGTTGTACGGATATTTATCATTTCACAACGTCATGAGACATGTTTACTATTGGTGGGGCTATATTTTACACGTAAATTGACTTTGATATAAGTATGATGTGTCACATTTAAGGTAAAAAATGACCTCGTTCTGCAGATAAGGGTTATGTATTATATTAAATTTATTTTCTTTACATAAAGGGACTCGCATACACTTTTGTGATTGATAAAATTGATTGGTTGTAAACTAAAAAATCATCTGTTGCCATGGCATTTAATAATTATAGTATTTAACTTAATGACCTTGATCTGTTAATACATTAATGACCTTGACCTATTGACCCATGAACAATTACTGGGATACCGGCATGAAATTACATTGTAATTATTCTCTAAGGTTGTAAAGTTTAGGTAAGCAACAAAGGTATCCGTTCTTTCGAGGAATATCCAGAATACATACCGTTTGTCGGCTTATAAGTAAGATTCATTCAACGACCTTTTAATTTTTATTGGTTTATAATTAGAGCTAAGTCAGACCTGGGATATATATACTATTCCGCGCTTGTGAGGATACTATTCAAAGTACATGTATGTTATATTATTAGGCGATAGGTGCAAGCGAAATTGAAAATGTTCTTTAAGTTACGTTTTTTTTTTCTGACTGTTTCTGACCTGAACGTTCAGCAATAAACCTTACATTACTGGGATGGGTGTATATAATTAGATACAGACTGAAGCATAATAAAATACAGAAAGAAGGCATAATAAGTTAAAATAATAAAAATAAAATACAAGCCGGGCATGATAAAATAAGGTGGGGAAAGATAAAATAAGGTGGAGCATGATAAAATACAAAAGGGTATAATGAAATATAAAATCAAATGTTTTTAAAAGATTTTTATTAGTTAAAGAAAATCATGTTAAAACATTAATAACACACAGCAGTCAGAGTTAATTAACATGTGTATAAAGCAACAATTATGGACAGGATATAGGAAACAACATGCATTCAAAATATCTTACATAAAATATACATTGTATATAACTAAATACTAGCATAACAGATAGAAACTTTCTGAAAAAAATCACAAAATATTTTAATAAATTATTATAGTCAAATCTGGAAAGCATTGAAATAACACTTTTTAATATCACAATAGGAAAGTCTAATAAATCTTTATAGAATTTAATAAAAGATAATCATTTAAATAATACTTGTATATCTCAAAGTCAACTTATTATACATGAGATCAAGCAATAATTCATATAACACTAAAAGGAATAACATATTTTCAAATTTCTTTGCATAGAACAGTGAAAAAAGCAAATATTCTTAACTACAGCCCCAAAACTCTCAAGCATAGTCGTAAAATATTGTTGAGTAAATGGGATATTATGAAAAGGGATATATTTGCACCCTTGGCCTTATCCCATTCAATGCCTTTGTTTTTACTAATCAAGTCTTATTGCTAATTTTGCCTCATTCCTGAGTATGATTTTTTCATTACTTTGTCTTATTCCATTTATAAATAGAAAACAAAATCAACTTTTAAAAGCAACAGTTTGGTCTACAAGTTTAAAATATTGTTGGCTAGTGGCTGAGATGACAAATACACTTGTACATGGTCTAGGACTGATCATTCATGTGTATACATTAACAAACTACATGTATATAGTTACCTTAACATGTACACAAATATTTTATTATTTTTATAAAAAATAAATAAAAAAACAACAACATTTTTTCAAACTCATTTTAAATATTTTAAAGGCCTTCTAAACCTTTATGTAGGGTCATCAACACTGCAAGCCAAATGCTGATAAGCAGAGCTGTGATAAGTCCAAGTTTTCTGTTTTGTTTTTCTCAGAATCATTATTACAGGATGTTAAATGAGTATAGGTTCAATAATGAATTTATTGAATAAAATTATAATATGTGAGTCACAGTGGAGCATAATATTATTTATTCAAGGAGTTAAATAAATTTAGTAATGAATTTACAGGATTATAATATTCTATTCATCACATACCCAAAATACCAAAATAAGACTTACTTATGGTAAAAAGAACCACTTTTTAATTGAGGTGCTTAAAGAGTAATGCGCGTCTTTACAAATTGTTTGTATAACACAAATGATGTCACGTCAAAATTTATGCTTAGCCATGCAAAACCAATTTTATGAAGTCACAAAAACCGGCACAGGTACATGCATGTGATGAATACAATGTATCTATATTCATGCAGCTTTTTTTTTACAACAGTAAAACATTTCTTTTATAGAGCCCATATCAACAACAATATGGTCATTTGTAAAACTTGGGGAAAAAAATCAACATAATTTCTTACATATATGTCTAAGTTCATTTACAGTGATATATCTATGCACTAAAATAATAATTATTTACGGTGATATATCTATCCACTATGCACACAATGGCACAATTCATAAAAACATTTGTCAAGCCCTGTGGCAATTTATCTTTTTGACTTTTTAGTTCAAGCCATTAGATTTTGGCATTTTTTATTACAGTATTTATCACCATGGAAAATATTATGTCCATTATATTCAAATTAATTTTCTTATGATTTTTGGTTAAAACTCTCTTAGAGGACCTCCGAAATGCATAATAAGCAGGAAACTGCTATGAGAGAAATCTAACCTAACAGTTATACAGTACCTGAAAGAATTCATGTCTATGCAATTTTTATCAAAAGTCAAATAGTAAATTTGTAACACTTGTACTGGAATTCTGTCTATACAGTATAGTAAAAAGAAAAGAAAAATAAATCAGATTACATTGCATGGGTGCAAGCTCACTAGGCTCTTTAAGTGTGACAATGGTTAATCACTCCACTGTTCAAGCAAATATATGTTTGTCCATGTTTTTTTGGTTAGACTTTAAGTCACATGTCACTATAAAAGTCCAATGCAACTGGCAGATGTTTCAGATACAGGCAGGCACTAGAGTAGAATCATCGACCTTCCATAGGCTAGTCAGATAGCTTCCTCATATGAAAGAATCAAAAAGTCCCAGGTGGGATTCCAACCTACAGTAGTGAGAAGGCAAAAGGCTAATAGTTAGCTACCATAACCACACAACCACAGAGTCACATAGGTTCCAGCAGATCAAGGGTTAACAAAATACAATGCATATTCTAAATATCAAGGAGTTGAGTATTAATATATTCTTAACCTATCTACTTAAAAGTCTAAGTAATGTACATTTTGACAGAGTAAGTTTACATTTTGGTAAAATAGACTAAGTTTACAATACAGTCAAACCTGTGCAAGTAGTCATCTCTTTATATATTAAAAACATCTGTACAATGGCCATTCTTTGAAAAATGCCATTTACTATTTAGAACAAAATTGAAAACAGGTCATCTGTATATGAATGCCCACAACTGGCGTTTCCTAAAACATGTTTATTCATAGGTTTGACTGTTTTTAAAAATAAATTTATAATAGATACATGTAATAATTTTGGATTTTGAAGACCTAAAGCTAAGTGCATGATTTATCTAAAATAGTTCATAGTTAATTGTACTAATAAGGGAAAATCACTTAAATATTCCATTCAGAATACAGTAACTGTTATACACCTTTTATCAAAATTCCTACCTTCACTATAAAGGGCTATAATTTCCTATTTGTTTAAACTATTAGATATTCCAGGACAATGATACTTCATTAATTCAATGACGTTAAATTACATGGTAAAGTCTTAAAACATGATGAAAAATACAGCTCTAGCAAAGATACTTGCCCCCTTTAATTACAACTGAAATGTCAAAATAAGATTCCCCTGATAAAAAAAAAGCCAAAACAAAAACACAAAAAACAGGCAAGCCACACCAAATTTTGGCAAACATAATTTGAATGAAAATTTATGTTGTTTAATTACTAATTCAATACAATTTAAAAGCTGAAAAAAGACAACTCCTTAAGATATTCCAAAAAAAAATGTTTTAAATAAATTATAAATTTTCTCAACAAAATATACATCTATAAAGAACATACAAGAGTATTTTGGAAACAATTGTATAAACTATACACATCACACATATATTATTACCAACAGCATATATTTTTAATACAATTTCATAATTTATTAATAACTTGATTAAAAGGCCTGTTCAATTCTGTTCTGATCCACTATAACAATTTTTGTTGTCAATGATTTTGATGATAATGATCATGATAGAGGTGACTGAAATAGTTCATTTTCTCAGCAATAATGTTCTTAAATGCCCTGAGTGGCATTTCCCGCCCTTTTTCACTTGTGCTTGTGTTTGTCGTCTGCTATCAACTCCAAAAATGTATCCTTACACTGAAAATAGAACAAGACTGATGTGCAATGGTTTATATGGTGCAGCGATAAAATGGAATGACATTGGTGATTTATTTACTGATAAATAGACCTTTTTGTTTAAACTAAAAGATATTCAAAGATAATGATTAATTCGTTAATTCAATGACGTAAAATTACAAGGTAAAGCCTTAAAACATGATGAAAAATACAGCTCTAGCAAAGAAACTTGCCCCCTTGAACCATGCATATTTCTGCATCCCCTTATATAACTGCTGTAGATTTAAAATACTGCTACAGACACTGCCGATTGTTTAATGTCAGGAACCTATCAAGCTAGCTTCAGAAGGTCTTTGGTTCTAACTAAAATGCCCTCTTGTGTCTAAAAATAATGCAGTTAGGGGCACCTGAGGTCTTCTATCCCCAATAAAGCTGAAGATATCACCAACTCACCATGATGTGTCCTTTACAGTGTTGGTTTGACTTAAACCCGAGAGTATTTCTATTCCTAAGTCTTGAAATTAATTACATTCTTTTTGAAAAATTTAAACTGTTTTTTTTTTTTTACTTTCTTTACAAAATCAACAATTAATTGCAAACACTAAAATCGTATAAGGCATCCTCATCTTTACTATAGGAGCCAGTTCCTCCTCTATTTAACTCTTGAGAACTGCTGTCATAATGATGTTTGTATGATATCATTACAGACACTTTTATATGAACACAAAATTATCCTGAATAAAGGTAAAAATTTACCCTAGGGATGGGAAGACATGGTCCCAAAGCTTCAATGAGTAGTGTTTCTTGTCTGACGGCTTGTTTGTAATCTTCTACAGACACCTTACCATCATGGTCTATGTCCTGTAAGAAATATTAGTGTAACCTTTATCTATCCTGTTTCTCAGTTATAATGCAATATGTATACTATTAGTCATGTAAGAAATGAGCTACCAACAGCATTAGTGTCTGATCTAAGACTGCATGAAAGTACAGGCTAACCAGGCTTTAATCTGGTAGCAAAAAAAAAATATTTTCTGTTCTAGGTTATGGGCTAAATCTGATAATAGAGAGCTCAGAAGTATTAATGAACTGTAATTTATAATATCGTATAGCATATGTTCACCATTCAAGCTCATGCACTTTAAAAATAATCATCATTTACAATATGCACTAAAATACAACTTTTGTTACATATGAATTCTTTGTTCTCAAGATAAATATAAAGAAAAAAATGCCAAAAGTAGATCTAATTACCAATTAATTTCCCAAATATAGTACAGCATTTGTGTTTTATAAAGAGGTGTGACAAACGTTGACCTAACAAAGCGTAATGCAGTACACAGTGTAACAACCCGTAGGACAGTGTTCAGTTACATCAAAATACTATATCATACTGGCAGGCTTATAACGCTTGGATACACTCCAACAGTAATTAACGGTCATTAACATAAATGAGATTTAATGGGTATATTTATCAATTAAACCATTTTATCACTTTCGTTTTTGAATAATGTGTCCCTTCAAATGATTTACTTTTATGATACTTCAAAGATTTCTGGGACTTAAATAAGTCATATGTAGCAAATATTTCAAATAAAATTATATACTTTTAATCAGGTCTTTGTTCGAAGTTAGAGTAAAAGCAAAATTTGAGTGATGATCTTTTCTAGTTTATGTATAAAGCATGTATTATCATAACAATAGCCATCATAAGGTGGGGGCAATGCTTGACTTTTTTGTACTTTTTCTAAAAGCAAACAAATAATTTAAACAAATCTTTAAAAAGAAAATTAAAGAAAAAAAATTAAGTTTTTAAAATTTTTTTTTATTTTAATAGGTTTGTCTAGTCATGCTATGTATGAATCATTTCCATAAATAAATGACAAAGTTAAGAAAATAAAAAATAATTTCAATCATCTAACCTTGATTGTCAAGGTCATTTAACCTTTTCCCTTATATAAGCGTGTTTCGACGGCTTTTTGCCCCCCCTTTTTTGAGGCCTCAAACAGTGAAAAAAGGCCCTATTTAGGCCCCAAAACACTGTTATTCGTTTGAGAAATGTTGGTAAAAAAAGTGACCACTTTTTCGGCGCCGTCCCCCATCCAAATATTACATCAGGGAGTTGCCAGAAGGGGGATGTGCCCCCTTCTGTTTGGGGGGTTTGAAGGGGGGCGGAGTCCCCCTCATCGCCAAGAAAATTTTGGACATGTGACAGGCTAAAAATGGCCTCAGGTTGATCTTTGGGTAACAAGTTACCTACGCTGAAAAGGCTTTTACTCTATGTCAATCCATTGAGAAGTTGCAGCACTTTGAAATCAGTTTTGATGGAAAAAAACAATGCGAAATAGTGTTGTTTGGCAATTTTGAGACGTCCCCCCGTTGCCATGGTAACAGGAAATTTACCATTGAGCACGCTGTTAAAGAGGCTATGGTGTAGTCAACATTTGTGCCAAGTTTCATTAGTATTGAAGCATTTTTCATAGTTTCATAGCAGTTTGAACTTGTTACAGGAGGCTTTTCAATGAAAACGGCCATTTTTCGCAATATGCTCATGGGGTAAAAGGTTAATGGTCATATCTAAAATTTTATTCATGTCCTTTTAGAAAACAAGTGTTGTTTTATGAATAAAAACCTGTATATATCAAAATTATGAAACTAAAAACTAAATTTATAATTTGATTTTGTTTGATAAGGCCCTTTTAAAAATAAAGGCCCAGTTAAAATTTTAGAAGGTTTGCCCAAAAGGTTTTATTTGTCCAAGTATGAAATAATCCTTTGGGTTAAAATAACCAATTTTTAAAAAGGCCCAAATTTAAAAAGCACAAATCATTAAAAAATTCCCAAAAAACTGCCCTTCCCAAGGTTTAAAAGGGCCCCATACAGGGAGTAAAGGTTTAATTTTGGGTTTTTTAAAATAGATACAAAATGCCCTTTTCCAAAGGGAAATTTGGCTTAATATGAATTAATCCATGTGTGTGATAAAACACATATTTTAAATAAGTGAGTAAAACACTATCAATATAATGAAAGTCGGGAAATATTAAAATACAAACTTTTGTTTTTTATTTGTACAGAAATTGAAACATTTTTTTGGTGACTCATTTTTAAAAAATGTGAAACCCCTAAAAACTGCAACTGAACTTTTTAAAACCCCAATTAAAGACTAACCCTTTTATACAACATAAGCTATGTGAGTTTTTAAATTTTGGGAATTTACTTTTGCTTAAAAAAATAGGGTTAAAATTTCTTATTTTTTCCCAACTCCCATTTTTTGAGTGAAGTTTTAAACCCAAAAATTTTCTGCATTTTCACACCCTTCTTTTTTTGGTGCTGAAACCCAAAGAAACCCAGAAAATATTGAAATACAAATATGGGAAAAAAATATGTGTTTTGTTTTTAACGATTGAGTGAAATTTTTCAAATCTGATTTAAGAAATTTTTTTACATAAACATTTTTAAATTTAAATACTCCCAGTCACAGGGGAAAAATGGGGGCCCTCCGGGTGGTCAGGCATAGACAAATTTTTGGGAAAGAAAGTTTGAAGTAGTTTCATGAACACTGTCTTATAAACCTGGCAAATTGTATAGGTGTATTCGTGTTCTACATAGGAGGCCTTTTATCCACGAGTATACAGGAAGACTTTTTGAGCCAAAGTTTTAATAATTGTGAAATATCATGCTATTGAGTAATAAGATCAGGAGCCAAAATAAAATTTTTTCACTTTCAAAATAGATATACCAAGATATTCAGACTATTGGATTTAAGCTTATAATCTTTAAAATGAACTTACTTGAACAAGACAATTTTTCAGCATGAGGAACATTTCTTCTCTTGAGATATAACCATCTTCACCTCGTGTTGAGTAAACAGAAAAACAAACTGAAATAGCAAGAATGAAAAAAATTAAAACAATTTATATGACTCTTAAGCCGGTGTTTAAAGCTGCATGCCTCCAGATGAGCCAAAATATTTCAAGAAAATCAAACTTGAGAAAAATGTTTTGTTTTATGAAAAGTAAAAAGACTGAAGACAAAAGTAATAATTTCCATGTTATTTGCGATAAATGGTCGATTTTTCAGTAATTTTCACCATATTTTTACTGCGTTACTAACACAGTCAGGGCTAATTTTGCATATTTTGACCTCTTTTTGGTAATTAACATGGGTTGTAAGTTCCGTTTGCAATGTGCATATTATTTTCTTTGTCAGCTTTACAATATTTTATTTTTTTAATACATTTTCAAAATCTTCATGAAAATAAGCAGGAATCTGGAGGCATGCTCCTCTAATAAATTATATTTACCATTATTTTGATTTTATGTGCTTTACAAAAAATGTTAAGAAATACAATTCAACTTACACTTGGATTGTTCATCAATGGTTCCCTTTAAGAAGATTGACATTCCAATGACCCATTCATCATCACTTATATAACCATCATTGTCAACATCAAATGCTCGAAACACTGAAAGTAAGATCATATGTTATACTGAACTTATGTTGAATATCTTTAACAAGAAGGGCGGCAGTGATAAAATACTATATATATTATTGTTCAATAACAATTACAATAAAAACAAGATATGTTTGTAAAACATGTATGCCCCCTATCAGCAGCCAATTAGTCATGTGAAAAGGTTATTATGCATGACTTCTGACCCAGTGATCAAACAATTAATAAGGGTTATCAAGTATCTACTGGTCATGACCTTAACCTTTGACCCCTTGACCCAAAACTCAATAGGGGTCATCTGCTGGTCACGACCAATCATCATACAAAGTTTGAAGTTCCTAGGCCTAAGCGTTTTTAGGTAATTGATCGGGAACCATTTTAACATACAAGGTCAATGTGACCTTGACCTTTGACCCCTTGACCCCAAATAAATAGGTCATTTGCTGGTCATGACCAATCACCATACCATGTTTGAAGTTCTTAGGCCAAAGGGTTCTTAAGTTATTGATTTGAAAGCATTTTTAACCTACAAGGTCAATGTGACCTTGCCCTTTGACCCTTAACCCCAATATCAATAGGGGTCATCTACTGGTCATGACCAATCACCATACCATGTTTGAAGTTCCTAGGCCTAAGGGTTCTTTAGTTATTGATCGGAAACCGTTTTTACCTAAGAGGTAAATGTGACCTTGACCTTTGACCCCTTGACCCCAAATCAATAGGGGTCATCTACTGATCATGACCAATCACCATATCAAATTTGAAGTCCCTAGGCCTAAGGGTTCTTTCGTTATTGATCGGAAACCGTTTATACCTACATGTACAAAGTCAATGTGACCTTGACCTTTGACCCCTTAACCCAAAATCAATAGGGGTCATTTGCTGGTCATGACAAATCACCATACCGAGTTTGAAGTTCCTAGGCCTAAGGGTTCTTCGTTATTGATCGGAAATAGTTTTTACCTACAAGGTCATGTGACCTTGACCTTTGACCCCTTAACCCCAAAATCGATAGGGTCATCTGCTGGTCATGACCAATCACCATACAAAGTTTGAAGTTCCTAGGCCTAAGGGTTCTTTTGTTAATGATCAGAAACCGTTTTTACCCAAGAGGTCAATGTGACCTTGACCTTTGACTCCTTGACCCAAAATCAATAGGGGTCATCTACTGATCATGACCAATCACCATGCCAAGTTTGAAGTTCCTAGGCCTTAAAGTTCTTTAGTTATTGATCAGAAACCGTTTTGCTTAAAAGGTTGTGAACCTTGAAAACTTTGACCCCTTTTGAACCCAAAAATCAATTGGGGGTCATTACTGACAATGACCCAATCACCATACCAAGTTTTGAAAGTTCCTAGGCCTTAAAGTTCTTTAGTTTATTGATCGGAAACTGTTATTGCTTACAGGTCAATGTGATTGACCTTTGACCCCCTTGAACCCCCCCAAAATCAATAGGGATCATCTACTGATCATGACCAATCACCATACCAAGTTTTGGAAGTTCCTAGGCCTTAAGGTTCTTCATTATTGTCGGAAAACCTTTTTTGGGCTTACAAGGTCAATGTGACCTTTTGACCTTTGGGACCCAAAATCAATAGGGGGTTTCATTCTACTGGTCAATGACGCAATCAACCCATACCAAGTTTTAAGGGTTCCCTAGGCCTTAAGGTTCTTTAGTTATTGATCGGAAACCGTTTTTGCTTACAAGGTCAATGTGACCTTGACCTTTTGACCCCTTGACCCAAAAATCAATAGGGGTCATCTACTGGTCATGACCAATCACCATACCAAGTTTGAAGTTCTTAGGCCTAAGGGTTCTTTAGTTATCACTCGGAAACCATTTGGTCTACGGACCGACGGACCGACAAGTGCAAAGCAATATACCCCCTTTTCTTCGAAATGGGGGCATAATCAGTATGTATATATAATGCTTAATATCTTTTACAAGTCAGGTCATATTAATACTGTACTAATGTTGACAATCTTTGGTAAGTACAGTACTGTCTATAAGGTTAAAAGTGGCTGAAAATGAGGAGTACAATTCGATTTATATTACATGGCTAGAAAATTTTCTAACATGGCTAAAAGAACAATAGGGAGAATAATTCTGTTTCTTTAAAATGGCTTGGAAATGCTCTAACATTGCTAAAAGAAAAATAGGTAGAACAAAATATGTTTGTACTTAGTGGGGGGCTTTACACATATATTTAAAAACAATGACACCCCTGGGGCAGGGCCAGTTTTGACCCCAGGGCTTTTATTTGAACAATCTTTGTAGGCACTTACTAGAAGATGTTTCATGCTTAATATCTACACTCTAGCTATTTGGGTTTTTCCGAAGAAGATTTTTAAGTTTTTGCTATACACATATAAGGAAAATCAATGTCCCCCAGGGCGGGGCCAATTTTGACCCCAGGGCTCTTATTTGAACAAACTTGGTAGACATCCATTAGAACATGTTTCATGCTAAATATCTTAGCTCTCGCTCTTTGGGTTCTTTAAAAGAAGATTTTTAAGTTTTTACAATATGCATATAGAGTAAATAAATGAACCCCTGGGCCGGGGCCAATTTTGACTCCAGGGCTTTTATTTGAACAAACTTGGTAGACACTCACTAGAAGATGATTCATGCCAAATATCTAAGCTCTAGCTCTTTGGGTTTTTTAGAAGAAGATATTTAAAGTTTTTTCTTTTGGTTGCCATGGCAACCAGAGTTCTGCATGGAATGGAATTCTTTGAACAACTTTGTTAAGGCTTCACACAAGGAACATCCCTGTGAAGTTTCATTATGATTTGCCTTATGGTTTCAGAGGAGATGTTGTTTTAAAAGTGTGAACGGACAACGGACGACGTACGACGGACGCCAGACGACGGACGAAGAGTGATCCTAATAGCTCACCCTTAGCATATGCTCAAGTGAGCTAAAAACAACAGGAAAACAAAAGGACAGCTTTTTAAATACCCATTAGTAGATACATAATGTCCAAACACTTTCACATCAAACATAAATGCACTATGAAAGCTTACCTTTATCCATTAAAACATCATCTGTCATATTAAAGTGCTGGTAAAGTATATTCTAAAATCGTGTTTATAATACCCCCTTTTCCACGCTTTATCCCCACTCCCCTTTTTTTAGTGAACTTTTTAAAATAGTTAAGCAGTTTTAAAACTTCTTGTTTCAAATGAAAAATTTAAAAAACAGCATAAACACTCAGAATTATCTACTTTAAAAAACGGGGATTTTCATTTAAATTAGAACAGAAAACAGTTTTTTTCATGGGTAAAGGGGTCAATTGGGCCCCTATACCAACTCTGTCCTCTATTAAAAACCTATTAGGATATAGATTATTTTTTAAGAAGTAAATTAAACTATGAAATTATTCAGAGGTATGATTACTAACAAACAGAAATTGAAAAAATTGGCAGTGTAATTTGTTTGAATTATCTTTGTTTTGAAGAGAATTATCAATACATTCAAGATGTTTTATGTCAGATTAGTCTATAAATAATAAAGTCTTTAAAGGAACTCCACTGAGGTTTAAAGGCTAAAAACATAAAAATTTAATTTTTCACATAGATAAACATGAGGACTTAAAACAGAAATATAAATAAAATATAACCAAGAAATATACAAGAAATACATTGAAAATCATACGTTTGTGCTATTCTCAGTCCGATTTGAGTGAAAAGTGTTTAAACGCTTTTCAATTTTGGGTCATTTATCACTATTATAATAATTATTCTGGAAAAACAGAGGGAGATAATGATCTGAAATTTGGCACATACGTTAAGTATAGATCTACATCAAATGGAGTAATAATCTAAAAAAATTATTTCCAGTCACGTTATGTCAAAAAACCTCAGTGGAGTCCCTTTAATTGAATTTTGTGACAATAAATGTAATAATATTAAACACTGTTTGTAACTAAATATAACAATTTAACAATGTTGTTTGAAGGATATTTTCTACAAAAAAAATAGACAAAACATATATAATTATAAATTCTTCCTCTCTGTACAAATTCAAATACTTTCATAAATTAATCTTTTGAATATCCATGAGAAGAGGTCTATATAATTATAAACATGATAATGTTGAACAATGAAAGTTTTGATGAAAACAAATAAAAAGTAATAATAGTGAACTTTACATGTACTAGTAATGAAATTACAATTATTGGCTGAGTTGACCCATGCTAAGTTGGTAAAGGGCTGCGATGACTGGGGGACCGAGATGACCCAGATTCTATCCTCCGTTACAGTATGTGGGCATATTATTATTATACTTTGGGAAATGGGCATAGTGTTTTGATCCAAAGTTTTGTTTTACCACCAAATCAGAAAGTGATTATTTTGAGTCAGACTTTAAGTGCAGGGGTGTTTTATTTATACAGAGCTTATTTTAGTTTGATTAAAACCAACCAGTACTAGCCAATAAAAGGGTGAAAGGGTGAGAAAATGAGCAGCCTGACCGGGACTCGACCCCGGAACCCTCGGAATACTGTACCGCGGCTCAACAGACTGAGCTGTCTCGCCGCTTACACATTATCTCCCCTAAAAAATGAACAATTCTGAACTGTGACAAGTGTAAAGTTTTGAGAAATGGATGGTATACCTTTGTAATTGGAGTAGATAAATCAAATACTCATATTGATTTTAAATATCACAGCAAGTAAATCACTCATTTTAAAGAATTGGAGTAATAGATAAGTATTTTTAGAGATAAATTTAATTTTGTTCACTTACAAGCAATGGGAAATTGTCTAAACATGTGTCCGACACTTTATTATCCGAACCTATTCAACTACGGGCACCTTGTCTGTTAATTAGAAAGAAATTGAATCGCTATTAACATATTAAAAGTAAATTTACTTACAATGGCAGCATTTATGCTTGCATAAATTATCAGCTTTATGTGCCATCTCCTGTCTTTTCGTCCCGAACGCCTTTTTGGTTTTTCCTGGCATTTTTGTTATTTTTCCCAAATTGACAATTAACTAGCAACTTATAAAAACTAAAACTAATAGTGAACGAAATTTTACTTTTTCATAAATCTGTCAATATTTCATCATGTTTATGTTATTGTTACTGATATCACATGTATGAAAACTATCTTTAACAACAAAATATTTCTCAACGTTTAAATTTACAAATAAATATTATTTTCAAATTTCTTTTAAATAATTCCGTTTAATTTTCAGTAATGAGATTGTTATTATTGATATCAGCGTCATGTTCCCATAGCGATAATCAAATTGTTTATAGTACGGATAATTTATTATGCGTTACCGACTTATGGGTAAAATGCTACTAAATATTGAAATGAACGGACTGCAATGTTACAATGTAAGCGTTTCAAAACAAAACTGATCATAAGCTTTATGACATTATGAACTTGCTTACTTTTACTCCTTTATTGTAAGGTCTTTATTTAGTATAAGATACAAGTCTAGTGCAATAATTTTCATGTCAAATTTCACGGATTTATATTACATAAATCATTGCAAATTTGCATGAAGTGATGAAATAACTGTTTTGGACCTGCTAAGAGCTAAGAGTATGTGCTGAAAATTCAAAAACGCATTTGAGAATGCCCTTCTGGAGATAAATATCCTGCCAATAAATTTCTGATGTTAGTATTTTCAAGTAAATGTAGGATTGTCCAATGGTTCTCTTCTTTCTGTTTTTTTGTTTGTTTTTGTTTCATTACATTTTTTTTTAAATAAACAGCTAACATCATGAAAATGTCCTTATTTATTTTGTTGAAGTGTGTTGTTACATTACGTTAGTTAAATTAACTAAGTCACACAAATTTTCTAACTGCCATTTTGGTGAGGTAAAGTTGGCAAGCAGTATCTCACACATTGTTATTTTAAGTGAGTTGTAGGGTTGTATATGAAGTCTGTTATATGTTGAGACAATCAAATAAGTATTTAGTGGTGTTCAGCCTTAAATCATAGACATGATTTAGTTAAAAACAGCTGCATTCATTTTGACCAATCAATACCTATCACATATCAAAGGACAAGAAACAAACTTTGTTCATGAAGTTTAGAAAACAGAAACCACCTTACTTTATTCATTTATACCTCTTTGAGTAAACTCAATGACAGTTAAAATCTGTCGTAAGGGCCAAATACAGACCATATTCAGCAAAACCTGTTACTAGTATTTGAAGCCGGTTTGTGCTTTCCCAATTTTTCATCAGTGGATGACAACATATACATATACAAATTTTCACAACTGATCTTTTCAGACTTCAGACATGTTATTTGAAGCCAGGTTGCGCTTTCCCTATTTTTCACACATATACAAATTCCCACGACTGATCTTTTCTTATACTGAGCTTACAAATGATATAAGATATTGTGTAAGAACAACAAAGATGGGATATATATTTTTAGGCTTTATTTCTGACTGATGTAAATATAATACACATTGACACCACAATGCCTATGAGGAATCATCAGGATCATCTCCACAAGTATGGAATTTTATATATAATACAAAAACATATCCTGATAAAAAACGGGGGCATTTGTACAACATCGTTTATTTTATATAGATTGCTGATTAAAATAACAAATGAAAGCTTCTTCTTATGATAATCATAATTTTACAGAATATACAATTTGTATATACATGCACATTTTGTACCCAGAACTCTGTAATAGTAAAATATTTAATAAGTTCAAAAAATATACAAACACCCCCAAACAAATTAATTTTTGTTTTGCAAATATCTGAGACGCTATAAAAACGAGAGCTTCAAAGTAGGAAAAAAAATTGATTAATTCAATAAATTTCTCAAACAAAAGCTATCCACAGAACAGCCTGTACCACTTGGTGCTTGATCGGTGACTAAAAATTATGTCTCAAAAGGTATGCATGAATACTGAAGTAAACATCTTTAGATGTTGATGAGAAATAAAGTTGTATAAACAACTTTAACCATTATTACACAAAGATTGATGCAAAAAGTATGTTATCCCCAATTTTCTTCAAATATTAACAACAAAAAAAGAAGACAAAGAAAGATAGAACAATTAAAAAAAAAAGAGTTTAAAAATTGAATAAAATTGTTCCCAAAATTTACATGTAAATGAACAACCTGTCAGGTTGATTGACTTATTTCATTAAAATCATTGTTACATCTTTGTCTATGATTTTTTTTCCCCATGTAGTAATGATACCAGAAAGGTAAACATTTACTTTAATTTCCACATCTCCTTAGTTATTTAATAAAAAAGGGATTTTTTTTAAATTTGATTACTGAAACTTTCTTATAATCACTGAACAAAACAAACCTAACCCCAAATAGATAACTCACTAACATGTATGACATTGCTAAAAACAGAAGAGCAAAGAAAAAAAAACACACCCCAAACAACAGATATTAACATACAAAATGTAAACATCCCTGTGTTTAAGTCTATTTAGAAAACACTGAAAATTATACATATGACTTTAAAAATGTGACTCGCATGGTTTCATAAAAATTTTTAAATTTGAACTTAGAAATGATTTACACGGTTTCATGAAAATTATACATCTAAACTTAGAATTGATTCACATGTTTTCATGAAAATTATACATCTAAACTTAGAATTGATTCACATGGTTTCATGAAAATTATACATCTGAACTTAGACTTGATCCACATGGTTCATCTAAACTTAGAATTGATCCACATGGTTTCATGAAAATTATACATCTGAACCTAGAAATGATTCACATGGTTTCATGACATACAAGAATGAACCAGGAAACAATCTATGTAGCAATCAAATCTTGAGAAATAAAATGTAAACAATGTAAATATAAAATATAAAGAAAATTTACCTATTCAGTGCCTTCAAAAAGTTCTTAACCACACATGTTTATCATTCTAATTTGTAATTGCTAGTTTGAAACAAATGACTTACTTAAATTTGTTAACTTTCAATGTGAATTTGCTGAATTGTTTTAAACATTTATTTTACTCTTCCAAAATAAAATTGTCTGTTTAGCCTCAGGGAATATGTAAGATTACCTATCAACAAATTTATTCTTAAAGAACCCCCTAATAAACCAGTACCAACACCAGCATACATGTAAATGCCAAAACTGGCAATTACTCTTATATTTGACCATAAACAAGATTGTTACCATAATCAGTAAGGCAAACAGAAAAAAGAAATTTGAAGGGGGGGGGGGGAAAGGCAGGTGGGGCAGCAATATAGTACACCTCTATATTTGAACTACTGGTGATTCACATAACAAAAGCTCGCTGTTGACATAGATAAAAAGACTGTTTAAACATAACATTTTGACAACAAAAAATACACTTTCATATTAAATACATGCATAAAATGTATTCTTTTTTTAAGTGTTCAGAAATATTAACATAACTTTGTTTTAAAGCCATAGAATTTTAAGCATAATTTTTACAGCACTATAAAATTTTAAATACAATAAAAACAAGTTTAGATAATCATTAAGAAATAAATTTTACATCACTACAATTATACAGATAAAAAAGCCAAAAAAAATGTTATTCAAATTGTAGGAAAATATATGACCAAGCAAATCTTTAAACAATTAAGAGAATTCCAGACCCTCCTTGTATTGTCCTAAAGAAAAATGATTTAGCCTGTAATAGATCTTGTAAATACAGGTTAAATTCATTACTTCCTAAACTAAGATATAAATAAACAAGACACAAATTGATACATCATCTGTGTACACTAATTTATGTTTTGTCTTTATCTGTTGCTTTTTAAGGCAAATTTTAAACATCAGATTTTCGATTCTCAGTGGTAAGTCCATCTCACAATGCTTTTCTGATAACAAACAAGTGATTACCAACTTCTCCACAAGTGACTGACTATAATCCTGTATAATCTCTGTATAAGAGGTAAGAGACAAATGACCATAAGAATCAATGTCTGAGATCAAATGTCATAAAGTTCAAAGTGTATGTATATAATTATATAGCACAAATAATGACATCAAATATAACATGTAGTAAGGAATATCATTTTTTTAATTTTACAAGAAATTATTTTGTTAGTTAAACAATACATATACATGTAATTATTACCCTAAACACTTGCAGACCCTGTTCATAAGTTCACACTTAAAGACTAATTTTTATTCTACATAATTATATAGTAATTGCATAAGATTTGTACCTAGTTATACCATAGTTAGAAGACATACCCAATACCATGCAAATATTTTTTTGAAACAAACATCAATTGATGAAAATAGCCACTCCATAAAAATTTCTGCGGTAACTTCATTATTTTTTCAATAAACTGCCTTTAGTTACATTAAAGGGCATTTAAAAAGAAATCAGGTTCATTTCTTAAAATTTACAGCACTCATTATCAATGTATAGGCTTATTACTTGCACAAAGAATTCAACATATAGAAATAATCTTAAATCATAAAAACAAACAGAACAACACCATGGATTCTTGCAACAAGACATAATCACTATATCTACCATATACTGGACAAATTCATGTCAATTTGAGACAAATGTAAGACTTTTTTTTTCTTTCTCAATCAGTTCAACAAATACTAGACTTTTAAATATACTAAAATAATTGTATCATAATGAACTAGTCAAAAAATATACAATATAAATATTGACAAGCATAAATTTACTGTGACATGATCATTCATTCCAATTTTAACACATTAATAAAATAATGATATATTTAAATATAGAGAATGTGGCTGAATGTACGAAATAAATGTTTGAAACCTTCACAGACAGAAATATAAAGTTTAAACCTTACATAGAGGATATTGAATGAGTGTACATGTAATACTTAACTGATTGAACGAGTTGTATGCAAGCCTCTGGTAAACATAATATTGTTTTATTCAACAAGTTCAATAAATCAAGAACTGAATCTGTATGATTATATTATTCTATTTATCACATAATTAATTTAAGAATGGTTTACAGTTAAAGTTTTTTTTTTTTTGGTTGACACGCCTATAGTGAAAGGCCAACATTAGCCCGCTTTAAGGCTATGTTTGTATATAACGCAAATGATGTCATGTGAGTTTTATTACACTAATGTAATATTGTTTGTATTATATGGGTTTATCACACTCGGGTGCACCGTGGTTTATGTGATAAAATATGATTATAAACCCCTGAATGTGAATACTGGTACTGTAGACTAGCCTATGCTACCAGTATGGAACAATTTCAGCATGCACATGTCTCAAGTCCAAAAAAATGTTTACCTCTGAAGGAAATATCAACTAAACCTCTAAAAAAAACCAATAACATTGCTGTCTGACCAGGCTTTTATACAGATGATTGCTAAAAATACATCTTTTTGAAATATAAAACATCTTAACATAACAATAGAAAGTTGCAAATTGAAAGCAGTGTTGTCCAATATAAATATTTAGCAGTCAAACAGTTCAACATCAATGCCGCCTAAATACAGATAACATCCACCATGTGTTACACATAAAACAGCCCTATTTTATCATTATTACATTAAATATCTTCATTCAAAACAACATCTATCAATTCTCAATCAAAACTAATCTTACAATCATAAAGAGATCATGTATAAAAAATGACAAGCAAAATTGAATGTACACCTATATTCACGGAGAGTTTTATCTTCTCTTACAGAGAAAAAAAACAACAATATCTCAATAAATAATCAATAAAACTATTTAACAATAAAGTCTTAATGTAACAGTCCCACCTTCTCATCGCTATTTCAAGAAAACAAACACAACTTAACGCAAGTACAAACTGACGGAGAATCTTAATTAAAAAACAAAACTATACATATAATAAACCTGCATAAATAGATCTAGAATTGAACTTATCTACAAAATTTTATTGAAATTTAAGATAAAGTGTCAGAAAACATGAATGTGATAGATGCCATGAATATATAACAAAGACAAAAACACAGACAGGCAGCAGGTGTATTTAATATAATTTAAACTTTACATATTTTGACTCTTCGAGTGCAAACAGCAAAAACGATTTCCCTCTACCAACATCTCTAAAATTTCAAATACTCGATGCTCAATTTATTCATATACTGAAATTCCTGAACTCACTAATATACTGTTCAAAGTTCAGATCATGGCAAGTCTATTATTTAAACTGGGAATAATAAATGGGTCAAGCATTACTTTTGTAAGTACACTAATTTTCTCTCTCCTTTTGTTTCTATTATTTCTAAATATAGAATTTTCATTTAATGACTTATTCATCACTTTTTTCATCACTGTTATGTACTTTAAATATAAGATAAAACAAATGGAGGTCAAACATGAGGATGATTTGTAAACTGGTTCATTCAAGAATCTAAAAGTACTTGTCTTCTAATACCTTCACCATTCATTTTGAGAAAATGTGTCTACAATGTTGAATGAGTTACAACAAAAATTAAAAAAAAATATATAAAAAAAAGCCTGCAAAGTGATTCATTCTTGATTTTTACAGCAAAAAATAAATCATTTCTTTATAAAATATAATTTACAATATCCTTATTTAAATTATGAAAAACGTTTTCACAAATGTATACAAGAACTAACTTTATTCAACATTAATAGTTAGATAACATCTATATTAAATACATTCCTTCTCTATTCAAAGCACTTCATTATGTCTTTATATCCTTTGTCAAAAATTTATGTGGCTAGGTGTAAAATATTTGATTTATAATTAAGATTATCAAATTTTAATTCTTCAACACTCAAAATATATCACTTGGATTTACCAATAAACATGTAAAGAACCAAATAGAACTTCAAAACTTCAATTTTAAAGAAAATCATTATAAAATATAAAACATGCTAGAACTGTCCTTTTTATATATTTTAGGATTTCAACAATGAAATTCTGTGTAAGAGATGGGGTAATCAAATCACTTTTAACAATCTTAATGGACAGTCTCATAATAGCACTGTTGACATCTACTTTGTGCTGACTAGTTGTACTTGAACACACACACACACTTTTAAGATGGCCATGACCTTTACAGTGACATGAAGGTCATTCAATGACAAATATTCATTCAGACAGTGACCTTTCAAAGACAATGACATCTTCTCGTTCAGTGACCCTTGCAGGTCAATGGCACATTTCCATTAAAACAGTGATCTTTCAATGCCATTTTCTGCTTGAAACAGTGACCTTTCAAGGTCATATACCTTTACATATTGTAATGACAACCTTTCAATGTCATTTACTGAATTTCTTTCAAACAATGGCTTTTCTGATGTATCTGACCTCTAACATGAGACGTTGACTTTTTAATATTAATTTTATAGACAAGTGATCTCTCAAGGTCACTGACCTTTAGCACTGTTAGATTGAACTTTGAACTATTTAAAAATAATATATTGGTGAAGTTAATGTTATATTTTTTTATCTTTTTCTCCGACAAACACGTTTGTGTTCTTTGTGCCAGTGTTCTTGTTGACATTTGACACTACAGTATGATGTGTTCCAACAACAGTGGTACATGGCCTCTTCCTCACAGTTATAACACTGGAAATATACAGATGAAACCAACGATTAAATTTCAAATATAACTTATATATTTACAAACTATTCATAAGTTTTCTTTTTACATTTTCCTGTATTAAATCTTTTGTGTAATGTTTTCTTTTTAATTATTTACACATTGTAAATGGCATCCACCTTGTATTCTTGTGAAATTGTTAACTTGAATATGCAATACTTGACTTGTTTATGTCAACAGCATGGCCTCAGAAATTGTTGGTTGACTTTCAAATTTAGCAATTTTATATAAACTATAAACCTGCTGAAGTTTTGTAATGGATTTACCCAGCTGTAAATTCTAGGTTTTTTATTATCATCATACAAAAATTGAGCTACTAACAGTATAGAGCCTGGTCAGATTGCTGACTTCACTCTTTACTGGTGACACAGGCTTATCCGTTTTGATTTCAGCAGATTTATGGTGAAAATTACCCCACATTTCCAAATTCAGAGGAGGACAATTTCATCACCTCAGATAGTGCAAAGGTTAAGCATCCATTTATAATACTAAATCATTTTATTACATGCTTTTCGGTGGTTTATAGAAATATATCAGTGAAATCAAAACTGATAATTTCAATGTTTCAAACAGTGAAATTATCAATTTGATAATTTCACTGTTTTGAATATTTGAGCCCGTTACGTTGTTTCAGTGAAATACATGGGTTCACAGTACTGGAAACCAACCTAATGACGTGACGTCGTAAATGACGTCACGTTGTATTATTATTTGGCGCCCTTTTCATTTAATATTAGGTTAAAATGTCATTTTAAACGTTTCTTTGCATATAATAAAAAGAAAATTTGTTTAGTTTAATGTAAGATCGAAATATATTTCACCTTGTGAACACCAAAAGTTCATATTTCACTCGTGGCTGCGCCACTCGTGAAATATACCTTTTGGTGCTCACTCAGTGAAATATATTCCGATCTTACACTGAACTAAACAAATATCCTCTATATCATTTACAAGTTATAACTTATATGTTCACAGCCTGTAAGCACTTGGAAAATTAACTGTCCTAACAATATCATATTTAACTGTCCTAACAATATCACATTCTTATATGGAAACAAGAACTTTGTACATGTACGAGAATTCTGAAATCATTCACAGAAGGGCACAAATTGATGCATAATCTAGAACAGCATTAAATATGATACTAATGCCGCACATTAATATATATATAAAACATAGGTACATACCCATTGTTTTTTCTTCGTAGATGATATGGTTTCCTTGTGTTTCTGAGCAAGTTTCTTCATCTCATCTTTATACTGTTCTTTACATTTATCTTCTGTTTGCCGACGTACTCGGTCCAGCTCAGTCTGTAATTTACTCATTGCCCGAGACACTGCTTGCTGTTTATCCTCCTCAAAATCTTTGTGTAACTATGGTAACAGAAAGTGAAATTTATGAATAAGATTTAAACTCTATATAAAATGACACCAAATACATAGAGGATATTTGTTTAGTTCAGTGTAAGATAGGAATATATTTCACCGAGTGAGCACCAAAAGGTATATTTCACGAGTGGCGCAGCCACGAGTGAAATATGAACTTTTGGTGTTCACAAGTTGAAATATATTTCGATCTTACACTAAACTAAACAAATTTTCTTTTTATTATATGCAAAGAAACGTTTTAAAAAGACATTAAACCTAACAAGAGCTGTCGGTAGGACAGCATGCTCGACTATTCTTAGTGCTTGATAGTAAAAAAAATGCCTGATACAGTTACCTCCTCCTGTTTACAGGTTGGGGTCATGATGGTGAACAAGTTTGCAAAGTTTCAAAGCCATATGTCAATGGACTTTGAAAATATTTGAACTATTACAAAAACTTTAACGTAAATTCTAAGTCGAAAAAGGGGCATAATTCTGTCAAAATGCTTGATAGAGTTACCTCCTCCTGTTTACAGGTTGGGGTCATGATGTTGAACAAGCGTGCAAAGTTTCAAAGCCATATGTCAATGGACTTTGAAAATATTTGAACTATTACAAAAACTTTAACGTAAATTCTAAGTCGAAAAAGGGGCATAATTCTGTCAAAATGCTTAATAGAGTTACCTCCTGCTGTCTACAGGTTTGGGTCATGATGTTGAACAAGTGTGCAAAGTTTCAAAGCCATATGTCAATGGACTTTGAAAATATTTGAACTATTACAAAAACTTTAACATAAGTGGTTACGCCGACGCCGACGCTCGGGTGACTGCAATAGCTCTACTTATTCTTATCGAATAGTCGAGCTAAAAATGAATGAAAAGCGCGCCAAATAATTATACAACGTGACGTCAATTACGACGTCACGTCATTAAGTTGGTACCCAGTACTGTGCACGCTGGTATTTCACTGAAACAACGTAAGGGGCTTAAATTCAAAACAGTGAAATTATCAAAGTGGTAATTTCACTGTTTCAAACAGTGAAATTACCAGTTTTAAATCACTGATATATTTCTATAAACCACCGAAAAGCATGTAATAAAAGATTCTTCTTAACATGTTATATCAAACCTAGAAAATGACAAGAATCCATTTTGAAAATTGACAGGCTGAATCTTAAAAGCAGTGCAAATTGTCAACTTTAGTGGTCTATTGCTTATTCCATGAATTCCATCAACACTTAAAACATAAGCTTCTTAGAACTGCAAAAAAATTGCAACAGTACAACTGACTTCCCACACAGCTACACATTTATACAAACATTGATTGAGTATAAAAACATATGAATCAACAGGTAAATCAAGATGTAGGTAGAAAAATTATAATTACATTTAATGCATTTACTAAATGTTGTAACTTTTTGAATTTTTAAAACCTTTTTACACATGTTTCAGTACCTACATCAAATTTCTACATAAAAGATAGAAGATGTTTTACATACTCTTTCAGAAAGTTCATCCAACACTTTTTCTTTATCGTCTTTGTGTTCTTTTTCTAACTTTTCTCTCATTTCACTTAATTGTTTATTATATTTCACATCACAATTACATGTTCTTGGTTCTGAATTTGATTCCAACACTGGTGGTTCATCCAACTTTGTTTGTGGGGGTGCTGGAGTGGTATCAGTTTTCCCAGAATTCTCTGTTGAAGAAGTAGACTGTTCCACTGTGACAACGGGCTGGTCCTCTGTTTGTGTAGATGAAACTGTTGTGCTTGCTGATGTATGCTATAAAAGAAAAAGGATCAGTCCAGATAAAATTCTAAATCAATCAAAAATGATAAAATCCTGCAAAAATTACTTCACTCAGTAATTCTTAATTCAAATAACAAGTTAGACTATTTCATGAATATATTAATTTAGATTAAGTGAGGGTTCATTTGACTTTTCAAGCAATTAAGGTTATAAAACCATATGTAAGTAGTTAGAAAGAGTTGTAACATATAATGTTTATATTATTTAACACACATGAATTTTGTATGTAAGAAAAAAATGTTCCATAACACAATATTATATTATGGTGCTGTCTTATGCCTTCAGCAATTATTTTGTGAATGTGGCATTCATTTTAGGCCATTATAAAATCATAATTCTTTCATAAAAGTATTTTGGTAGTTGTCTTTCTCAATCTTCAAAGTATACCTTTTTCCAGCAGATATATAGCTTTATACACTTTAAAAGAATGGGACTCTGTTTTAATTCAAGGAATTGCTATAAATTGTTACACACAACATATGTTTAAAGTTAGAGGAAAGTGTAGTAAGCTTTTTTCAACTATCAAGCAATATGCAACTTTACAAATACTGGCTCTTTAACCTACTGAATTTCTTAAAGGCTCTGGAATATTCCATTGACAATAATTGGGTGTTTAAGATGAAAATATAAAGTTGGTAAGCACAGATATACAGACTGGCCAGGCTCTATACTGATGATAAAGGCTTATCAGCAGGGTATGTGTTAAACAATAAACAACACAGTAAAAACATCACTTTTAAACTACAATTCAATATAGTCAGTCAGTTTAAGGACTGAATGAAAGAGTTAGATTTTTGCATTAAACTCAATAATATGAGCAGCAGTGTTAACAGGTGAAAGAGAAACAATGGACAAGATTTACAGTCTAATTTCAATGAAATATGACATGCTATTGAAACATGTAAATGATTTTTGTACAGTCACATCATACAAATAGATAGCCGATACTTCATATTTTGTTTCATACACACATAGTGTGTGGAATGATTTGGACATGTATCAAACCAATGACCTTCCTTACAGAAAGAAAATCATCTAAAATTACTAAGCAACCAATGCAATCTTGAACAGGCACAAAATATTGGAATAAAATATTTACCCACAAACCCACCCCATCAAAACTTGCCTGCTTAACAAACAAATATAGCTGAACTTTAAAAAGTCCATGATGTTTGACACACAAAACAACAAAAATAAGGAGAGCAGTTCATACTTTTTTGCTGGTTTGAGATGCTGTGCTGGTAGACTGACGGCTTTTCTTATTTGGTGGAGGATATTCTGCCGTAGATGTAACTATGTCATCTGGGGACGATACCTGTAATATAGAGAAATACCAAGGTAACATCAAAATGATTAAACTCTCTTATAGGTGAAACAAGATCTTGTTTTTCGTGAAGGACTTGCAATGTTGATGTTGAGATCTATAATCCCTATGATTGAAATAACAAAGTAATTCAGGCTTAGTTTTGCAAAATCTCTTTTAGTTTGATTAAAAATTTACTCTGTAAAATCAAATAAATATATCTGTGCGACGAGCCCAGACTAATGCACTGTCTGCTATTCAGTCAGTAAATATTTTGAATTCTTCCCTAAAAATGAGAAATAATTATGTCCAGTTTGGAAGACTGGCAAGTCCATCTAGATATTTAGCAAAACAAAGGTTCAACTATAAAATAATAACAGCAAAGTAAATCCTTTTATAAATAAAACCTCAATGTCATATAATCTTAACATAATAATTGTCCAAATTACCTGATGAATGTCTATAACATAACAAGAGGGCCATGATGGCCCTGAGGTCGCTCACCTGTATATAGGCCCCCCCACCCCCGGGCCAATTTTTACCCAAGGGCTTTTATTTGTTTATTTGAACAGACTTGGTAGACACCCATAAGAAGATGTTTCATGCTAAACATCTAAGTTCTAGCTCATTGGCTTTTTTAAAAGAAGATTCTTAAAGTTTTTACTATACACATATAGTTAAAAACAATGACACCCCTAGGGCAGGGCCAGTTTTGACCCCCGGGCGTTTATTTTAACAAACTTTGTAGATATTTACTTAAAGATGTTTCATGCTTAATATCTAAACTCTAGCTACTTGGGTTTTTCCAAAGAAGATTTTTAAGTTTTTGCTATACACATATAAGGAAAATCAATGACCCTCCCGGGCGGGGCCAGTTTTGACCCCAGGGCTTTTATTTGAACATACTTGGAAGACACCCATTAGAACATGTTTCATGAGAACATGTTTCATGCTAAATATCTTAGCTCTAGCTCTTTGAGTTCTTTAAAAGAAGATTTTTTAAGTTTTTACTATATGCATATAGGGAAAATCAATGACCCCCTGGGGCGGGGCCAATTTTGACCCCAGGGCTTTTATTTGAACAAACTTGGTAGACACTCATTAGAAGATGTTTCATGCTAAATATCTTAGCTCTAGCTCTTTGGGTTCTTTAAAAGAAGATTTTTTAAGTTTTTACTATATGCATATAGGGAAAATCTATGACCCCCTGGGGCGGGGTCAATTTTGACCCAAGGGCTTTTATTTGAACAAACTTGGTAGACATTCACTAGAAGATGTTTCATGCCAAATATCTAAGCTCTAGCTCTTATGGGTTCTTTAAAAGAAGATTTTTTAAGTTTTTACTATATGCATATAGGGAAAATCAATGACCCTCGGGGCGGGGCCAATTTTGACCCCAGGGCTTTAAATTGAACAAACTTGGTAGACATTCACTAGAAGATGTTTCATGCTTAATATCTTAGCTCTAGCTCTTTGGGTTCTTTAAAAGAAGATTTTTTAAGTTTTTACTATATGCATATAGGGAAAATCAATGACCCCCTGGGGCGGGGCCAATTTTGACCCCAGGGCTTTTATTTGAACAAACTTGGTAGACATTCACTAGAAGATGTTTCATGCCAAATATCTAAGCTCTAGCTCTTACGGTTCTTTAAAAGAAGATTTTTTAAGTTTTTACTATATGCATATAGGGAAAATCAATGACCCCCAGGGGCGGGGCCAATTTTTGACCCAAGGACTTTTATTTGAACAAACTTGGTAGACACTCACTAGAAGATGTTTCATGCCCAATATCTTAGCTCTAGCTCTTTGGGTTCTTTAAAAGAAGATTTTTTTAAGTTTTTACTATATGCATATAGGGAAAATCTATGACCCCCCGGGGTGGGGCCAATTTTGACCCCAGGGCTTTTATTTGAACAAACTTGGTAGACACTCACTAGAAGATGTTTCATGCCAAATATCTAAGCTCTAGCTCTTATGGTTTTTTAAAAGAAGATATTTAAAGTTTTTTCTTTTGGTTGCCATGGCAACCAGAGTTCTGCATGGAATTAAATTCTTTGAACAATTTTTAAAGGTGACCACCAAAGGAACATTCCTGTAAAGTTTGGATGAAATTGGCTTAGTGGTTTATGAGGAGATGTCATTTAAAGCAAAAGTTTACGGAGGGACGGACGCCGGACGGACGGACGCCGGACGAAAAGCGATCACAAAAGCTCACCCTGTCACTTTGTGACAGGTGAGCTAAAAATTCAAGCTAGTTTAATGATAATGTATATTTATATCATCTTTCTCAATTATGTTTAAATGCTGTTATTTATAGGGATCTTCTATTAAAGTAAATTTTTTGCCTGTGTAACCCTCACCTTTTTACTCTTTGATTTCTTGGTTGAGGAATAACTACTGGAGCTGACTGTTTCAACATAATCATCAAAATCAAAGCTATCATCTTTCCTCTTTCTTTTCTTTTCTTTCTCACTTGGAACCTCATCCATACTTTCTTTATGTTTTCGCTTTTTCTCTTTCTTTGGTTTGTATGGTCTGTCTTCATCCATGTCATTGTCATTCACTGACCCCTGGTAAAATAGCAACAAAAATCTCTGGCTGTCTGGTAAAAATGGTGGAAAAGCAAGTTGTGAGAGTCATAACTGATGCCTGATGAAAAAATTGTTACTCAAATAACCATTTTCTCAATCAGACAATGTGTTAATGCAATAATTATATATACGTTTTAGGATTTAAATTCCAACACACACAGTAAAGATCTTATGGTGACTAAAAGTTTTACCAACACTATAAATAATTTTCAGGCTACTTTCCAGCTTTACTGGTAGATATAGATCCCAGGTACCCCTATCCTCAATAATGCTGGCCTGAGCAAGAAACTGTGAAGAGCGACCATACCTTTTTGCTTGGAAAGCTTCCTTACATGAAAGTGCACAACAATATTTGAGCTCACTATTGATAGGAGTAAGTAATTTTTAAATGGAAATCTTAACACTCCGACACAGTTGCCATAAATTTCTGCAGACTACATAAATCTCCTACATACAACATCACAGTAAACTTACCTTGGATTTTCTATGTTTTTCTTTATGTGTATCATGATGTGACACCTCTTCTTCTTCATCCTCATCATCGTCCCCGACAACCTCTGCATCTTTACGTTCCTGTAACATCTCCTTGTGTATTGTTAACTCTTCCATTGCTCGTGTAAAACCTAGCAATGTCATAATATATAACACATCAGTATCTTCATTTTTTCATTGTTTTTGTACATTTTTTTTATTGGTTTAAAGACACACCAAATAATGTACATGTACAGGGCATGTGTCAACTCCTAAGGTTTACTGGTGGAAAAAAGACTTTTTGGCACCTCTTTGTCAATTATTTTAGACAACAAGCGGGCATCTGTGTAGAATCATTGACCTTGAAGATAGCTAAATGGCTTGCTCTACTGAATGAGTTCGAATTCCATGTTTTGACTTGAAGTCATTGACTTACGACAGCATGAAAGCCCCTTCAAAAATTTTAAATGATATTTAATTATATGCATGATACAAAATTACATTCAAAGTCATGATTTAAATTTTTAATATATATTTAAATGACCTCTAAAAAATACAAATAAAGTATCAAGACTTACAACATAATTATCAAGAATGGTACTGTGTATGCCTTTCTCTTACAAAAGCAAATATTTATGTATAGTGTTAAAATTTTCCCAACTAAAGACATTACCTGTAGTCTTTTTAAAACTCAACTTCTTAAGGTCAGTATCTATAGGTTTTATCTGGTCTTTTGGAATGACTGCGCGTTGATGAAGTCCACCGAAGAATCGTACATCATACTTATCACTATTAACATAATGTATAACCTTTGCAGGCCAGTAACTGTAACCTTTCAGCTTAGCAAAGACAAGCTCATGGGGCGGATCCTGTTTATAATTGTAAGAAAAAAGAAAGACAAAATTCAGATATAGAAGTAAAACAACTTAAATGTCTTATTGCAGTTTTGTATTGAAAATTATATTAACAAGAGCCCGGTTTGAGCCGGGTGATGCTCCCCGAATAGGTTTTGGACACAGGAAAGTACACCGCTTGTAGTTTCAGAGTTATGTCCCTGGAAAAAGTTCAAAGTACAATAATTCCAAAATTAGGAAAGGCAGAGTTACTGTTCTTTCCACTGCCACTTTCTAATCACTGTTATCTATCAACTTACAAAAGTTTCTTGTTGACATTTCTTATGGTTTCCGAGTTATGTTTCCGGACAAATTCAAAAAGTAAAAAAAAAACAAATGGCAATAAGAATTAGGCAAGGCAGAGTTATGATTCTCATGCACTGCACATCTACCCATTGAGATACATCTACCTACAAAGTTTCATGTTGATATCTCTTATAGTTTTACAGCTATGTCCAGTACAAGATTTTCTAAAAGGGGGAGATAATTCAAAAATGAGGCTTAACAGAGTTATGGTTTTTTTTGCACTGCACTTCTACTCAATGAGATCTATCTACCTACAATGTTTTCATCTTGATATCTCTTATAATTTTAGAGTTATGTTCGGACAAAGTTCAGTGTAAAAATTAACAAAGGGCAATAACTCCAAAATTAGGACAAAAAGAGTTATTGTTCTTAAGCACTGCACATCTACCATTGAGATCTATTCACCTACAAAGTTTCATGTTGATATCTCTTATAGTTTTAGAGTTATGCACGGACAAGATTTTTCTATAAGGGGAGATTATTCAACAAGAGCTGTCACAGGAGACAGCGAAGCATCTGACTAATAAAATACTGGACGCAGTAAGGAGGACAAAAACTATGAAAGAAAAATCAATTATGTATAATTATGTATTAAGTTATAGTAAAAAAAATAACATTTGTTAACATAAATTCCAAGATCAAGGGGAATAATTCTAGAAATAGTCATGCTAGAGTTATGGACCTTTTCACACAACATTTGTGTAATGATAAGAAATATATATTTGAAGTTTGAAGTAGATACCTTAAAAAGTAAAGAAGTTATCATATTTCTTAAAGAAAATCCTAAGTTCAAAGAGAGATAAATCTGTAAATATTGCTTTAAGAGTTATGAACATTGTCACATAAAATGTAATTGATGATAAGGAATAAGTATTTGAAGTTTGAGGTAGATACCTTTAAAAATAAAAAAGATATAATAAAAAATAACATTTTTCTAGTAAAAAAATCTAAGTTTATGGGGAGATAATTCTTGCAATATTGGTGCTAGAGTTATGAACCTTGTCACATAAGATGTGGATGATGATTACGTAAATATATTTGAAGTATGAAGTTGATCCCTTTAGAAATAAATAAGTAACAGTAAAAAATAATATTTTTTATGGAAAATTCTAAGTTCAAAGGGAGATAAATCTCAAAATATTGGTGCTAGAGTTATGAACCTTGTCACATAAGATGGGGATGATGATAACGTAAATATATTTGAAGTATGAGGTTGATCCCTTAAGAAATAAAGAAGAAACAGTAAGAAACAGCATTTTTTGAGAAAAATTCTAAGTTCAAGGGGAGATAAATCTGAAAATATTGGTGCTAGAGTTATGAACCTTGTCACATAAGATGGGGATGATGATAAGGTAAATATATTTGAAGTATGAGGTTGATCCCTTAAGAAATAAAGAAGAAACAGTAAGAAATAGTATTTTTTAAGGAAAATTCTAAGTTCAAGGGGAGATAAATCTGAAAATATTGGTGCTAGAGTTATGAACCTTGTCACATAAGATGTGGTTGATGATAAGGAACATATATTTGAAGTTTGAAGTTGATACTTTAAGAAATGACAAAGTTATAGTGAAAAATATTTTACTGCACCAAAACTTTAATCTGAAATCTGGACGCGGACGTGGACGCCGACGCCGGGGCGAGTAGGACAGCTAGCTCTCCATATACTTCGTATAGTCGAGCTAAAAATGAGGCTTAACAGAGTTATGGTTCTTTTGCACTGCACTTCTACTCAATGAGTTCAAAGTGTTAAAATTAACAAAGGGCAATAACTCCAAAATTAGGAAAAAAAGAGTTTTTGTTCTTATGCCATGCACATCTACCTATTGCGATCTATTCACCTACAAAGTTTCATGTTGATATCTCTTATAGTTTTAGAGTTATGCCCCGGACAAGATTTTTCTATAAGGGGAGATAATTCAAAAACCGGGCAAAATAGAGTTATGGTTCTTTGACACTGCACTCCCTCTCAATGCCCTCTACCACTATATGAAGTTTAAACAAATTATCTCCAAAGGTTTTCAAGTTATGCTCCGGACAAGAAAAGGATGGACGGACAGACGGACAAGGCGCCGACTATATGCTCCCCCGAAATTTTTCGGGGAGCATAATAAAATAAGAATGATATTCAGTCACAGCAGCAAAATATCTAATATTGATTTAACTTTACCCCTTTCTAATCATGTCTTTTATAATTTTCATCAAGTTTGATCTTCCTAACATACATCAATATTATGAATTAGGAATAGAGGAGAAAAATCATTAAACATATTGCCTTAAACAAAATAGCCACTCAAAGATTTCATAGAGTCCAACTTTACACAAATATATTATATTTATCATGTAGCTTGGCAATGATTTGGTCAGGGGCAGATCCATGACTCAGTTAAAACTAGAGGTGTCATCGATAAGGATTTTTGTATCGGTAATGAATTATCGGCGATATAGCGATATATCGATTGCCAGGCTAAAATTTAGCTTTCAAGTCTTTTTAAATGTTTCCTAAGGACACTGACTAAGCAGTTATATTAAGACAAATGCAAAAAAGATAAACTATGAAAACTGAACAATTTGTTTCTTTTTTTATCATATATCTATAATGAAAACTAATGACTAGTAACTATAAAGTTTAAAGCCTTTTCCATTTTAATTTAGTTGTTGTTGTTGCTATTACGTAGTTACTGATCATGCTAAATGCTGTCCTTGCCGTTCGAATTAAGCCGGGTTTAATTGGCAAATTATAGTGTTTAGAACCTGAATAATTATTAAAGTTTAACATTTTGTAATCATAATTTTTACAAAGAAACACTGACAAATTTTTCTTGGCATTTTCCCTTTTTAAAATCTGAATTGAGGGGTCTTGACATCCACTTAGCAGACAAGCGAGGTTATAACGAAATTAGCCAGCATTCGTTAGAGACACTGGGAGGTAACTTTGACATTGATTTTCGTTTTCATTTTAGAAAAAAAAAAAATGTTTTTGGCTTCCATAACTTTATATGTCACTTTTATTTTGACGTTTTGCGACAGTGAACAGGTCTATCAGTTCTATAAAACCTATTCGCTGAAGTCCCTTTAGCTAGAAATATATGTGCATTCGATATCCGATATTTAAAAAATGGAATCGATATCGAATCGGATAACAAAGATCGTTGATACACCGATATCGATTGAATCGCTGACATCCCTAGTTAAAACCTGCTGGAGTAGTAATCTAGGGGTCACTGATCCGAATCCCCCAGCACCACAAACAGTAACAATTGTCTTTTTGATGATACTTTACAAATGAAGTTCCCATGTGTTTTACACAAGGCATGTAAAACTTAAGAATCAAGATCACCTCTAGATTGGGCAACTGCTGTATTACACACTAACCCAAAAAGTAACAACTAACTCTTCAGAGGGATCATAATACGGACAAGTAAATAAATCAAAATATAATAAAAAATATCTTGTCACATCATTCCAACAATTGTACAAGAAATGAAAATTTGACTTACACAAGGCTGAGCAAACCAATCTCTTGGTTTAGCATTGGACATATAATAACAATTTTGACACTGTGCCATCTCATCTATCTATAAAATACAATAGGAAATATTCATGTTCAAAAATACCATAAACAGCAATGAAATGAAGAAAGAACCAGTTTTTTTGATCAATTCAAAGTTTAATATCTAATGTCTCATCAGTTAAACCATATTGATTTTTCAAAAGAATACATGAGCTTTTTATGGTCTAAGTTCATCAATAAAACAAAACTGGCATTTTACTTTCAAGATTATATTTTATATAATTTCCTGTTATATACCATCCACTATATCAGGATTACTCTTTACTGGTGGCTAGAATTTTCCATTCAAGTAGGTTAGTTTGATAATGCTAAAACTTACATCGTATTTACAATCTCGTATCATAATCTTTGCTAACTCTGTCATACCTCCAACCTCATCTGAAATATAACATATATACATGTACATAAAGGACTGTTTCTTATGTATGAAATTTTTTGCTTTATTGATAACTGTTTTTAATATTTGTCACCGTTCAAAACTGTTTAGGGAAGAAGATGTGTAAGTGGCTGGATAGCCCAGTCAAAAAGGGCCGCGGTATGGCATACCAAGGGACCTGGGTTTGAGGCCCGTCAGGCTGCACATTTTTCTCACCCTGTGACATTTGGCGCCCAATGTAGGGCCGTGACTGAATATAGCTCATAGTTTAATTCACTTTGCTCTGTAACTCTGTGAAATTCAAGGACGAATTTCAATACAGCAGAGGAGTATACCGTGGGTCCAAGGTTCGAGTCTCAGTCAGGCTGCACATTTTTCTCACCCTGTGACATATTTCTCATATAAACATACAAGTAGGCTGTCCAATCTATATGTATTTACTACCCTGTTAAATTAAAAGCTAGTATAACTTATTCCCAAGCATGACTGGCTGATACATTTTACTCTCTTGTTTTGCCTTTTGAAATTACATGAAAATTGTTGCTGTAATAATCTTTTATACAAATAGTTCGGGTGACAAAACAATAAGTCAATCACTTAATATATTTCCTCACCATGATTCTCAAAATTAAGTTAACAGCAATACCTTTGATCTGTCACAGTGATTACATTTTGTACTAAACTTACTTATAGTAAGTATAAAAAAAATCTAAATACATAGATAACCTACAAAATTGTCATCAAATTCATTTTAGTCTTAATACACACTGCCATTAATGTTTTAAGGCAATTTTCAAACACTACTTCAGTAAAATAATTCAAACAAACAGACACCTTGATAGAGTCAATGATCTCAATAGGCTAGCTGGACAACTGCCTGACATAACAGAATCAACCCCTCGTAAGAAAGTAACTTGTGCATACTACTGATAGTAATATAGAGTCAGCATGTATAAAAAAGACTTTCTCCACACAGTCCACGGCAGAAAGCGCAACAGACATGCAACCATAATGGAATAAGGGCCCATTTCTTTTGTTTAATAGAGGGCCATTAGCCCCTTACTCTATTGTTATGGAATATATTGTGCTCTGTGTTCTGTTTACAGTTAGATTTTCAGTAATGCAGATGGACAAGAGCAAACCTTTATTCCCCCACCCCATAAGGTATAGAGTGCATACAAAAATCCCATAATTATCCATGTTTCAAAAATATTTATAATATCTGTAATGTTCATGTTTGATATAGAAACTTACCACCATATACAAGGACCATATTATGTAGAACATTATGTGCGTCTGCTAGAAATTCCTCTATACACTTGTACTTGTGAGCCATTACTTTCTGCTCCATTTTGTTGAGGTCCATTGATTTGTATACAAACAGAGGCATATATTTCTTCTCTTCTTCTCTGTGACCTATTCTGTGTAATTCTCTCGTCTGCAAACAACAATAATTCAATGTTTTAACCTTTAACCTAAAACTTTCCTGAATGGACATGCCAACACTATAAGTTCATGGGATATTTTCTTTGATTTTCATATAGCCATTTTTTTCAAACAGACCAGTAAATATCACCACATGATGTCTTAATCTGGTTATGTAAGATTATGGATGGAGCAAAATACATAAAGCATTAGATGTTGGTTCTGACCAGACCTACATTTTGAAATAGTCAATTACAGGACTTTAAGGCAGGATATCAAAATACAACTAGAAATGTGTCCATAGGACACGGATGCCCCCACACGCCACTGTTCTGTCAATCTTATGACTCTACTGAGTCTAGGTCAAATATTTTTTGAACTACATGTGCCACAAGTTGAAAACTAAAAATCAACAAAGGGCCATAATTCTGTTAAATCTGGTCGCAGAAAAAATTCCTTCCTTTACTACCATCTACACATTAAGGTTGTTAATCCCTGGAAGTTTAAGCAAAATCTGCCATCCGGTTTAAAAGGAGTTGCGTTCACAAAATTTCTACATAGTATAATTGTATATAATGAAAAAATCAACAAAGGGCCATAATTCTGTTAAATTTGGTTGCATCAAAATTCCTTCCTTTACTGCCATCTACACATTAAGGTTGTTCATCCCTGGAAGTTTAAGCAAAGTCTGCCATCCGGTTTAAGAGGAGTTGCATTCACAAAATTTCTACATAATAAATAGTGAAAAAATCAACAAAGGGCCATAATTCTGTTAAATTTGGTTGCAGCAAAAATTCTTTCCTTAAATACCATCTACACCTTAAGGTCGTTCATCCCTGTAAGTTTAAGCAAAATCTGCCATCAGGTTTAATAGGAGTTGCGTTCACAAAATTTCTTCATAGTATATAGTGAAAAAATCAACAAAGGGCCATAATTCTGTTAAATTTGGTCGCAGCAAAAATTCCTTCCTTTACTACCATCTACACATTAAGGTTGTTCATCCCTGTAAGTTTAAGCAAAATCTGCCATCTGGTTTAAGAGGAGTTGCATTCACAAAATTTCTATATAGTATCTAGTGAAACAAGAGGGCCATGATGGCCCTAAGGTCGCTCACCTGTATGTAGGCCCCCGGAGCGGGGCCAGTTTAAACCCCAGGGCTTTTATTTGAACAAACTTGAAAGACACCTATAAGAAGACGTTTCATGATGTACACACTTATAATGAAAAACAATGATCTGCCCTCCCCTACCCCCGGCAGGGCCAATTTTAACCAAGGGCTTTTATTTGAACAAACTTGGTAGACACCCATAAGAAGATGTTTCATGCTAAACATCTAAGCTGTAGCTCATTGTGTTTTTTTAAAGAAGATTTTTTAAGTTTTTACTATACACTTATAGTTAAAAACAATGACACCCCTGGGGCGGGGCCAGTTTTGACCCCAGGGCTTTTATTTGAACAAACTTTGTAGACACTTACTAGAACATGTTTCATGCTTAATATCTAAACTCTAGCTATTTGGGTTTTTTCAAAGATGTTTTTGAAGTTTTTCCTATACACATATAAGGAAAATCAATGACCCCCAGGGCAGGGCCATTTTTGACCCCAGGGCTTTTATTTGAACAAACTTTGTAGACACTCACTAGAAAATGTTTCATGCTTGATATCTTAACTCTAGCTATTTAGGTTTTTTCAAAGAATACTTTTTAAGTTTTTGATATACACATATATAAGGAAAATCAATGACCCCCAGGGCGGGGCCAATTTTGACCCCAGGGCTCTTATTTGAACAAACTTGGTAGACACCCATTAGAACATGTTTCATGCTAAATATCTTAGCTCTAGCTCTTTGAGTTCTTTAAAAGAAGATTTTTTAAGTTTTTACTATATACATATAGGGAAAATCAATGACCCCCTGGGGCGGGCCAATTTTGACCCCAGGGCTTTTATTTGAACAAACTTGGTAGACACCCATTAGAACATGTTTCATGCTAAATATCTTAGCTCTAGCTCTTTTGGTTCTTTAAAAGAAGATTTTTTAAGTTTTTACTATATACATATAGGGAAAATCAATGACCCCCTTAGGCGGGGCCAATTTTGACCCCAGGGCTTTTATTTGAACAAACTTGGTAGACAACCATTAGAACATGTTTCATGCTAAATATCTAAGCTCTAGCTCCATGAGTTCTTTAAAAGAAGACTTTTAAATTTTTACTATATGCATACAGGGAAAATCAATGACCCCCCTGGGGCGAGGCCAATTTGAACCCCAGGGCTTTTATTTGAACAAACTTGGTAGACACTCATTAGAAGATGTCTCATGCTAAATATCTTAGCTCTAGCTCTTTGGGTTCTTTAAAAAAAGATTTTTTAAGTTTTTACTATATGCATAAAGGGAAAATCAATGACACCCTGGGGCGGGGCCAATTTTGACCCCAGGGCTTTTATTTGAACAATCTTGGTAGACACTCACTAGAAGATGTTTCATGCCAAATATCTAAGCTCTAGCTCTTAGGGTTCTTTAAAAGGAGATTTTTTAAGTTTTTACTATATGCATATAGGGAAAATCAATGACCCCCTGGGGCGGGGCCAATTTTGACCCCAGGGCTTTTATTTGAACAAACTTGGTAGACACCCATTAGAACATGTTTCATGCTAAATATCTTAGCTCTAGCTCTTTGAGTTCTTTAAAAGAAGATTTTTTAAGTTTTTACTATATACATATAGGGAAAATCAATGACCCCCTGGGGCGGGGCCAATTTTGACCCCAGGGCTTTTATTTGAACAAACTTGGTAGACACCCATTAGAACATGTTTCATGCTAAATATCTTAGCTCTAGCTCTTTGAGTTCTTTAAAAGAAGATTTTTTAAGTTTTTACTATATACATATAGGGAAAATCAATGACCCCCTGGGGCGGGGCCAATTTTGACCCCAGGGCTTTTATTTGAACAATCTTGGTAGACACTCACTAGAAGATGTTTCATGCCAAATATCTAAGCTCTAGCTCTTTTGGTTTTTTAAAAGAAGATATTTAAAGTTTTTTCTTTTGGTTGCCATGGCAACCAGAGTTCTGCATGGAATTAAATTCTTTGAACAATTTTTAAAGGTGACCACCAAAGGAACATTCCTGTGAAGTTTGGATGAAATTGGCTTAGTGGTTTATGAGGAGATGTCATTTAAAGTAAAAGTTTACGGACGGACGGACGGATGGCCGGACGCCGGACGAAAAGCGATCACAAAAGCTCACCCTGTCACTTTGTGACAGGTGAGCTAAAAATCAACAAAGGGCCATAATTCTGTTAAATTTGGTCGCAGCAAAAATTCCTTCCTTTACTACCATCTACACATTAAGGTTGTTCATCCCTGTAAGTTTAAACAAAATCTGCCCTGCGGTTTAAGAGGAGTTGAGTTCACAAGATTTCGGGACGTACGGACTGACGGACGGACGGATGGACGGACAAGTGCAACGCTATATGCTCCCACATTGTGGGGGCATAAAAATCTGGCAGTAAGCATATCATTGTACTGGCTGCTGTTGCTTACAGAGAGTACCAATACCCTACATTTTGAAAAATAAAATTTATCCTTCAAAAATCTACTTATATTACATTTTTTAATGTTTCTAAGAGGAAAAAAGATTATTACAACTCCATGCTAGAGTTATGGATCCTTGTCTATGATCCACATTTATGACCCTTAAGACATGTGAGTTTCAAGCATTTACCTTTAATGCTTTGTAAGGATTTAAGATGTAGGTAAAACCATTACTAAAGGTTAAATGCCATATAATGCAGATGCTATGAGCCTATGCATTGTAAAGTCCAGCTCCCCTATTTATCAAATAGTCTGGCTTAAACATATACAGTGGAACCTGTCTAATCCGAACTCGTCCGGACCAGAAGAAAAGTTCGGATTAGAAAGGTTTCCGGATTAGAAAGGTTTCCGAATTAGAAGGTTTTTTTACATGTTTTTTTCATGTTATTTGCAAAATAGTTTAAGGAAAGAAAACGGGAATGTATTTGAAATTGCAATTTAGATATTTTATTTTTGCAGTCTCTTATCGTTCATTTTAATACATCTGAATACAAAAATAAAGAAATAAAAATAAATAAATAAGCAAAAATATTATGTCCTCTAGGGTAAGTTAACCTACGATGTTAAACAGGAGGCCGAGACATGATTAGATATTCGTACCAGCATTTGTCAGTTGTTGTTTACTCTTATCCGATTCAGCGACTACCGTATACCCCCGTTTAAACGCCCCCGGGGGCGTTACATTTTACCAAAACAAAGTTCCCAATTTTTACCGGTCCCTTTTAAACGCCCCCTCTTCCAGCTTCCAGTTACTACCTTTAAACTAACGTTTGAGTCGACCCCTGTACGTGTACACTCTATGTAAAGCTAGGTAGTGTAAATATCGAGCGGTTTAAATCAGCTGATTCTACCTAACGGTATACACAGGTGTGTATACACAGAGTGCAAGTGTTGTTTAGACATTTTTGTGAAGTGATAGTTAACAACAGTTATACTACGGTATATTTCATCAGTGTTTAAATATGGTACATGGAGTTTTTGTTCAAATTGTTGAATGTTTATTATTAAAAAGCAGTTTAAGGAAGTGTTTTTTTTTTGACTGAAGGGGCGTTTATTAGAGGGGGGGCGTTTGAACGGGGGTATACGGTATTCGAATTTACTGACAGTTTACATTAATTTTCATTACTTAATCACGTATCATTGAATCCAATACAAAGGATTAAAAAATATTTCTATTGCATTATATCAAAATATTTACAGAAGCTGACGAAAAACTGACGAAAAACAATCAATTAAGCAATTATAGAAGATATCAAGGCAAGCTAAGTGTAATTTTCACACCTTCGCAGATCATACGTTTCACCCATTTATCAAGCGAAATAACACTTATCAGTTTGGTGTATGTTTACACCTGCAAGATGTGCGATTATTTGTTATTTTGAATGAAGGTGTGACATTTGGCAAAATCTGTTCGGATCCGAGAGTAAAATAAGAACAAAAATTGAAAAAATCGTCCGGAATTCGGAGTAGACAGGTTCCGGATCCGAAAGGTTTTTATCTATTAAAAATAGAACGAATAAAATCGGGACCGGACACTTTCTTCGGATAAGAAAGGATTCCGGATTAGAAGGTTTCGGATTAGCAAGGCTCTACTGTATATCCTTACCTTTTCTTTAAGTCTGACTATAGTGTAACTAAGTAATGTGTTGAGTAGTTTTCTCTTAGTTTTCTTCTTCTTTCTTGCTGACTAAATAAAATAAAAAATAATCTTCATTAATTTAGTCAGATACTAGAGAATAAATTGATAAGTCAATACATTTTATGTTTTTTGACAGAGAAATCATTTTTTTAACTAAGATGATGCATTCTTTTTTAATACTAATGGCTTATAGGAAGATATTAATGAAACTATTCAATATTAGTTTGTGGTTCTATGATGTGTTATAATGTAACTAATATTCAGGTATTATATCATTCATCTGTAACAAACAAAGGAGAGGAAAAAGAAAACATGTTAAAACAGAAGAAAAAAAACGTGCAATTAAAACATTTACGCAACCACAGTAATGTCAAAAAGAAGTAAATTAAGGTACAATGAGAAAAAGAAATCACAAAATTCCCCATGAGCACAGATTAAAAAGGCTCTTGTTTGTGTTTTAATTAACCAGGAATAACCAATTTATTGGCAACTAATCCCTCATAACTTCTGAATCAGTGGAGAGACAAATGACCACTACATATAATCAATATAAGATCAACTGTCACTTAGATATTTTGACTCAACCATTTGATCAAACATGGACCCTAGATTACTGATCCTATGCTCACCTTATTGAACTCGACCAGACAGTAAATGTATTATCCAGAAAGAGAGTTCAAACTATCAAGATATACAGATATTAGTAATTTTGTCATGGAAAAAAACATTTCTGTCCCTTTTTTCATGAAATTCCTAATACAAAGGGAGGCAACTTTTAAACTATAGATTAAGAGTTAGCAGTCTTGTAGAATAATTTAATAATACATATACTGTATATCAAATCACATTTCATAATGTGATAATGATAAATTATCCATATTCTCAAGTCATCACCATGCATTTGACTATGGATTCACTTGCATGCTTTAGTTAGAAATATTTGGTATACATGTAGTAAGAAAAGATATGTTTATATTGATCTGTAACAAAAGTGACGGGAAAAGCTTAGCCATCATTCTATATAATGTAAATCTTGAACACTAAACATACAAATAAAACCAATTACACATTATAATCAAGTAAAAAAAGTATTAATTTTGAAGAATTTTGCTTATCTGATGAACAAATCATGCATTACAGAAAGTTAGTACAATATTTAGTTCCTGTCCAGTGTTAGGAGTTTGACCGACTATTAATGATCATTAGAATAAACAAGAATTTATTGTTGCCATCAGCTAATACATTTGTATATAAAATTTTTATATAAAAGAAAAGGTAATCATAGGTTAAAGTCTGAATTTTTTTTAAGTTACAAAAAAGCACAGTAAGAGACAAGAGCATACTACATGTAGTTACAAACATTAAGAAAATAAGACAAATCAAGAAACTATGTCTGCACCAAAAACAGTTAATTTTCCAGAAAATGTGTTCAATTTAAAAATATCCTGTCTTGACTTGAAAAGACTGGATTTCTTTTCAATACATAACACTGTTTCATTACATATTTACTAATACTGGTCAGAACCAGCCTGTTTTCTGTAATTTAAGAACATGACCCTTCAACTCTAGTACTCAAGATGATGTGGCTGTTTGCGGGCATCACTAACACACAAATATAATACCACATTCTTTATCACAGGTTCATTGAGAGGAAATTATTCACAAATTAACATGTTAGGCTACTTTAAAAACAAGAGGGCCATGATGGCCCTGAGGTCGCTCACCTGTATATAGGCCCCCGAAGCTGGCCAGTTTAAACCCCAGGGCTTTTATTTGAACAAACTTGGAATTAAGACACCCATTAGAAGATGTTTCATGATGTTTAGTTTTTGCTATACACATATAAGGAAAAACAATGACCCCCCCCCCCCGGAAGAGTTAATTTTAACCCAAGGGCTTTTATTTGAACAAACTTGGTAGACACCCATAAGAAGATGTTTCATGCTAAACATCTAAGCTCTAGCTCATTGGGTTTTTTTAAAAGAAGATTTTTTAAGTTCTTACTATACACATATAGTTAAAAACAATGACACCCCTGGGGCGGGGCCAGTTTTGACCCCAGGGCTTTTATTTGAACAAACTTTGTAGACACTTATTAGAAGATGTTTCATGCTTAATATCTAAACTCTAGCTATTTGGGTTTTTTCAAAGAAGATTTTTTAAGTTTTTGCTATACACATATAAGGAAATCAATGACCCCCGGGACGGGGCCAATTTTGACCCCAGGGCTTTAATTTGAACAAACTTTGTAGACACTCACTAGAAGATGTTTCATGCTTAATATCTAAACTCTAGCTATTTGAGATTTTTTCAAAGAAGATTTTTGAAGTTTTTACTATATGCATATAGGGAAAATCAATGACCCCCTGGGGCGGCCCAATTTTGACCCCAGGGCTTTTATTTGAACAAACTTGGTAGACACTCATTAGAAGATGTTTCATGCCAAGTATCTAAGCTCTAGCTCTTTGGGTTCTTTAAAAGAAGATTTTTTAAGTTTTTACTATATGCATATAGGGAAAATCAATGACCCCCTGGGGCGGGGCCAATTTTGACCCCAAGGCTTTTATTTGAATAAACTTGGTAGACACTCATTAGAAGATATTTCATGCCAAATATCTAAGCTCTAGCTCTTTGGGTTCTTTAAAAGAAGATTTTTCAAGTTTTTACTATATGCATATAGGGAAAATCAATGACCCCCTGGGGCGGGGCCAATTTTGACCCCAGGGCTTTTATTTGAACAAACTTGGTAGACACTCACTAGAAGATGTTTCATGCCAAATATCTAAGCTCTAGCTCTTTGGGTTCTTTAAAAGAAGATATTTAAAGTTTTTTCTTTCGATTGCCATGGCAACCAGAGTTCTGCATGGAATTAAATTCTTTGAACAATTTTTAAAGGTGACCACCAAAGGAACATTCCTGTGAAGTTTGGATGAAATTGGCTTAGTGGTTTATGAGGAGATGTCATTTGAAGCAAAAGTTTACGGACGGCCGGACGGACGCCGGACGAAAAGCGATCACAAAAGCTCACCCTGTCACTTTGTGACAGGTGAGCTAAAAATAACCTCCTTATTAGAGTTAACAATATTCTACAGAAATTTGCTTTTTGCAAAATAAAATATCTAATAAGTGACATTCAATATAGTGAGTATTGTCACAAATTTATGTGCAGCAAAACAAAACAGCCAAACAACATGAAAATTACCCCTCCCCCCCCCCTCAAAACTGAACTTTGTTCATAACTTCATTGCCCTTCAATGGTAGCATGATAAGCAGAAAAATGCTTTTATCTCCTTAGACCCTTTTTAAGATTGATCAGTTAGCATTCTATCCCCAGGAAAAATATCACATGGTTTATATATCCCAATAAAAAAATAATTGTTTTAGGTGCAGACTGTAAGAAGAGAACTGACAACAAATCATCTATTTACAATTACCTTTATTCCCTATGATTGACCATGCAAAATAAATGAGGATAGTCTTATTATATGTTCTTTTAGTGGTTATATGATAATCAGAAAAGGTACATGATAACAATATAACTACAGTATTACTTTTCACTACTTTAATATACTGAGTCTAGTATAAAAACTACAACATACAAATACTTTATTTTATAATAAACTTTTTTTTAAAATTTATAAATTATCTATCAACTAAGTCACAATCAAATACCATTTAAAGATAACATGATTTTTTCTTTATTAATAAGTACCACGGTACATTACAGTATTTGATTTTCATTTAATATAAAGAAGAAACGGAATAAAACAAGGTTAAAGGTACATGAAATGCAAATTACACAATATTGCTACAGGACAAGAAGTAAGCTAAAACCGTGTTGTCTATTAAAGTAGTTTTTCAGGATTTAAGGTTTAACTGGCTAAGTAATAATTTCATACTTAAATAGTATGCATGTAATGCACAAATCATTTATAACCCAATAATCCCCCCTTACCAGGTCAATTTTTTACATACATTTTCAAAGCACTGCCAAGACAATAGGGATAGAATTGTTTTGCTAAAAATTTGAAAGGAGATATTGCCATGATTTGGGAGGGCATTAAATGGCTATCTAACCATGTGACTGCCCCTCGTGGTGGGACCTTTTACTAGGCCTTTATAAGTCAGCCTGAATATTCCCTAAAGAGAAGGGGAAATGGTAAACTTTGACTGGTGCACAACCATAGCATATTGTGGTATTGATGATGATTCTTCAATGCATGTGCTATTTACTATAAATATAGCTTTAAAATGGCATATTTATTCTTGCAATGAACATAATATATCATTGATGTAAAAGTATCCAAAATGATATAATCAAATGCATAGAAGGAATATTTAATTAACATTAAGTAGTAATTTCGAGCTTTCCTGGTAAAGGAAGATCTTAGGTGCCCCTTCGTGCATATATTTCAGGCTCGAGCCGGCACCTAAATAACACAAAAAAACCTTCTATAAGCCGGCTGAATAGCTCCCTCAAATGAAACATTATCAGTCTCAAGATAGATTTGAACCCACAGTGGTGAGGATTTTGTTATTCAAAGTCTGGAACCTTGAATATATAGGTCCCGACATCTCCACATTAAAACACTAAAACAAAGCTTATATTGTTATCTGCATATTCAAGTTGCTAGATTCTTTTAATCTTTGGTTAATAAACTAACACAATAAAAAGAATTAATAAAACATCCATTTATCATTTTTCCCTCATAGTATAAAGTATATCCTGGGTTTGGAGCAAAACAGTTGTATCTCTTCTTTTTCTGTGTGAATTACAACTGTTTTGCTCCATCCGTATGATACTGTATACCTATTATTTGTATAATTTACCTTCTAAAACAAGTAATTTTCATCAGCAGAAACACGTTTTAATATGAAATGAAGAAGGAGAAACAAACTCTGATCAGAAAATGAAGCCCAAATTAAAATTATTACTGTTTTTATTGTACATAAACTACTTTAAATTACGGAGATATCTTTGTCACCAGGATAAAGGAACACCAAAAGTACAAATGTGAACTCTGATCAGACTTTATACTGTTTATTGGCAGCTAATTTTTCATATTTCTGTATTTAAATACCTCCCTAAAAATTGCAATAGAAATATCAAAGGAAGAATAAATTTATTATTAAGTTCAACCAGTTACTATGGGGTTAAATATGCTATGTACATGCTACAGTTTTGTTGATATGCATAACACACAACAATATTCAATATCCTGTCAATTTTACTCCAGATTGTTTATGTTTAAAAATAAAGTGGCTGATTGTTAAAATTTATTATAAAAAGAAGCAATATTTTCTTACTCTAGTAAAGGGTCTTATTATATATGAAATATATTTGTCATCACTTTTTATGTATTGTGTATTCTCTATAAAATGCACCCCTTTATATATTCCAAAAGGGGAGTGTTGATAACAGTACAAAATACATTAAATGATGCTTTATTTGGATTATTTATACTGTATGCACCAGTTTTCTTAATTTGTGCTATTAATATGGATTTACAATACACTGCTGTTGTCTGGTCTTGATTTTACAGGAGTGGATAGGTGTGGTATATATTAGGGGAGGGGTGTTTATTGGAGATTATACAGTAAGTGATTATTCATATTACTATACTACATTGTGATGAATGACTGACTAATATTATATAAGTTTGATATATTATAGTTATTGAAGAAGTAAGAGATTTTTGATACTGTCATCAAGAAAAGTATTTCGTATAAATTTTCCAGTGTTACGACTACGAGTGATTTTCTCAAATCTGCAAAGCATTTTGAATTTGGTGCAACAACAGTAAAGAGCTCAGTCAGACTTGCACAAATGTGCAGGTAAGACTTGTCCTATATAGGTAGCAATGGCTTTATCACTTTCCCTTTATATGTAATGTTTTTTTAAGGGGAAATAAAATTTTTAAAAAACTTTTTTCTTTTTAAAAACTCTTTAAACCCACTATAAAGTATTATGTTTTTTTCTATAATGTGGAATTTAGAAAAAGGAAAGACAAAACATTTTTTGCCCAGGGTGGGGATCAAAATACTGCCAACTGATTTTTTTTTAGTGCTTCTTTATAAAAAATTCCTTCCCCAAATAAAAAAGGGGAAATCCCTAAAAACCTCAAACGAAAACAAGTTTTTTTTGGGATTTTAATGGGGGAATTTTTAAATGAAACCCTTCCCCAGGAAATTGTCAAAACCCTAAGTTTTTTGTATAAGTTTTTTTTTGCCTTTCATTTAAAAAACTCCCACACATGTATTTTTTATATCATCACAACCTCATCCTGAAAAGTCACCCAGGGGAACATCGCGGCCCGAAATTTCTAAAACATGCTTTACATTTCCCCCGGCTGGTGACACTCAAAGCAATACCAATCATGTCCATCATCATCCTGTTTGCAAGATACAAATGTCATTTTGATGTCTAATTTCATAGTTAAAACAACTCTATCACAGAAGAGTTACTGCCCTTAATTTACACATAACATAATGCCCGGAAAATTTATAAATAACATATTCGTCTTCTAATGATAAATAAAGTTTAATATGTTTATATATCCTGCTCAAATAATATGATCAACTTAAAGTTCTCAATGCAGGATCCTTCATATTTAGAGTATCAAAATATATACAATAGCATGTACTACATAGCAAGAATTTTTCTTTTGATCACAATTGAGCCGTGCAATGACCAAACCACTTTATAATGCGTTTTGCGAACACCATGGATCCAGACCCTGCCTGTGTCTTCCCGCGGCAGGTCTGATCAGGATTCCATTATGTTATCTTAAAACGCAAACCATATTAAAAGTGAGAAAAAACTGAATGTCCTCACAAACCCGTATTACTGTTTGGTTTTTTGTCATGGCCCGGTCTTCAATTTTCTAACTTTAACACAATAACTCTTACGAGGTTCAACTTCCCCAGGGTCAGGAATCCTGAAACCTTCATATTCTACACCAGTTTTAGATCCCTTAAAGCCAACACCAGTGTATGACAGAATAAGATTGTCCAGTACAGCATTATGCAACTGTCTCTCCACTTCTGATTTCTTCACATTATGATCTCTTTCCATGTATCTGTTAACGAAAAATATTTACAATACCTTTCTAGCTTCCGGTTTCATATTTCTTACTACTTTATATACAATAACAGTAAATGCAGTGCACTTACAAGATTTGGCATTTTTTTGTATTACATTATATCAAGCAAGGGTCAAGTAGTGTTCCAGTAGTTGAAAATACTACATGTACTTAAGCATATAGAATTTTGTACTTGTACTTCTGAGTTCTGAGTACTGAACATGTTGCAGTACTCAAGTAAGGAACTCTTGTGCAAAAAGGAATAAAGATAAATCATAATCATTATGAACACACATGTAGAGTCCATGTTTACACAAAGTAAACAATATTCAGTGTTTCAATTTCAAGGATTGTGATATAAACATTTTTACCTTGAAATAATTAATTATTATCAATCTTAATTAAATATAACACAAGCTGAATTATAAACTGTTTCCAGCTCATAGAACCCAAAACTCTTTTGCTAGACATACAGATTTTCCCGATGTTCAGAAAACTGTCGTTAGTGCATGTAAAACATTATCTGCAACCAATGTTAACATTTGAGTGAATCTACCTAGCTAATCGTTCGAGGGTTGGATATCTGGGTTTTGAGATCCCGTATGTAGCTGATTCACAGCCAGAAAGTTGTTGTAAACCCGCTGTACATCAAGCTTGACGTCTCTTCACCAATTGCACCATTCCTGCAAACAGTGAAATACAATATGCCCACTTTTTCTACTAAAATTAACCATTTAAAAATTTTACCAGAAGTAACCATACATTTAGCTGCTTGTTTCATTCATAAGAGTTATCAAAAAGCAAAGGTTTAAAACATTAAAAAAAAATTTTTAAAACTTCCTATTATACACATAGGATTTTACTTCAACTTGAATTTTTTCAAAATTCAGTATGTTACAGTACAATTTAAACGAATTTTTTGGGCAGAAAAGTTCTGGCTGCATCCCCCACGGATTTTTTTACTGGTGGATTGTCACTGCGATTATCGATATTCTGCGACAGTTGTGATTTTCACTCATCACCGCATTGGGTGCTCTCACGCAGATTCGAGTGAAATTTGTGCTGTATATCTTCACCAGGATCTCTGTGAAATAATCCCCGGTGATTTTCCACTCCTTGTTAAAAGTATCCGCAGTGACAAAGCGTAAAGTGCAAAAATGCACTTCAGCTGTACTGTAGTCTGTACATTACATTACAAAATGTCATATTCTAAAAAAGGTTTAAGAGCAAAATGCTGACAGTTGTACGGTGGCACAAAGGTGACATGTGTGCGTTTTTATTTATCTCATGGCCACGAGTTACTATGTTGTGGCCACGAGTTACTAAGTCGTGGCCATGAGATTGCTAAGTCGTGGCCACGAGTTACTAAGTCGTGGCCACGAGATACTAAGTCGTGGCAAGGAGATACTAAGTCATGGCCACGAGATACTAAGTCGTGGCAATGAGTTACTAAGTCGTGGCCACGAAATAGCTAAGTCGTGGCCACGACATAGTATCTCATGGCCACGAGATAAATAGAAACACACACATGTCACCTTTGTGCCACCGTACAGTTGTCTGTGTAAATAATTTATTTGTGATTTATTAATGATAGCCATTACTGGCTGGGCAAATGAGCTGAATGTCCTTGCAACAGACAAACATAAAAATATGCTGAGGAAATGACGCTTTAAAACCTTTGTCAGTTAAGCAATATTAATGGCAATGCGTTTCTGAATCAGATATGTTATACACCTAACGTGTCTTTCTGAGATGTTAACTTTAAATTTTACAATTTACTTATGAAATGCAACTTTATATGATATGAATAATAAAACAGCATTTTGCAAACGGGAAGTAAGCAACGATATGTTATGATCGATAATTTGCGTCGTTTAAGATCAAATTCACTGGCAGATTGTTGTCAATAGATTTCAATGACAATTACAAACATTACACAATTAACCGCATATTCTATGCGTCAACCATTACCTTGCAAATGGTAAAAATAGATGATTTTTACAAAAATCTGACACGGTCGAAGATGGTGTCTTGTGTAAAACGTTTCTCACAGCTTTTCATGACGTCATCGGAAATCGCTAAGGGAAGACCGCAAAGCTTGCCTACGTTTTGCACACACGTGTCTTAGCCTGTACCTGTCAAAGTGCAGTTATCTACCTGGGAATTGGACCATCTGAGGAACAACTTAATCTTAGTATATCTGTTGATAATATAATTGTAAACAATAACAACTGTCGCCAAATTTTATGACTACAATGCCAAAGATAGTTGAATGCGTCCCAAATTTCTCAGTTGGGAGAAATAAAGAGGTAGGAAATAAGTTTATTTTAGTCAAGTGAAGTGTCAGAATGATCTGACCAAGTATGCAGCAACTGTCATAGACATTTATGTCAACTTATACATTAGCAAACCTGACTTTCATGAGCTCTGGTTTTGTCATTGCTTGTCGTGCATCATGGAGCTTGCTATGGTTTAATAGATGAATAAAATAGATCTATAATGTGTATTTCAAGCAGATTTGGTAGTATTTTTTGCACCAGGCTTGTACATGATCATGTACTGGTAATCCATCTCATTTGAAATTGAGGATATTTACTGAGGTTGGCGTATATCTCCAAAAGACAAATAAGGATTGGTAAAATAACACTCAAACATGCAAGTGATGTATTAATCAGTTGGATTGAAATTTGAAATGATGTCGACATAATTTGCATAGTGACTGAGCAGAAGTTGGCATAATTATTAGAGTGTGTGCCTTATAAATTTAACATCCCTAGGACCATGGATTACGACTACTGTTTGCATGATGCAAATGTTGGTTACTTTCAGGAGGCCGATGAGAGAGTGGCTAAAATAAGCTACTAAAGTAAACTTAAGGTTCAACTCAATCAGTCTGAAATATAGATATAATCTTTAAAAAAAAAACTTAATGCATCCCTCTGCAAAATGTGATATTGTCTCACTCCCTTGTCTATTTTATCTGAAGCATTTCTTACCTTGTCTGGTATTTGTATGTAGTAAAGTATAGAAAAAAGGGCTGTTGGACAACCTGGGCAATACGGTAATGAACAATTGATTTTCAACTGCCCTTGCAAGATAAGCAAGACTGGCGCACTTTACTCTGTTTTGTAGTCCAAAAACAACAAAAGTTTGACTACCCTGTAAGGTTTTTTATCAGTTTCTAGCACAAGCTGGCATTAAACATAATAAGTCTGCAGTGATTTAATTGTCAAACTGACATCTATAGTAACTAAGAATTAAGAAACAAGTCGCCAGAAGAATATTTATGAATAATGCTAGTTAAGCTGAGGGCAGATGTCATCTCATGAGTGGCTGAGTGCCTAGGTCTTGACCACTATGATTATGACTTTATTTTAATTAAGCTGAGGGCACCTAATGATCCTTAGTGGCCCAGTATTGGCCTGTATGTGTCTTGAAACACTGTGAGTCATTGTACTCATGCAGTGCTGGAACCAGTTGAAGGGATTATAAGTTCAAACTGCAAAGCACTGTGCTATAGGAAATCAGACAGAATTTATTTAATATGCATGAAGTGCAAAATTATTTATCTATACATAAATTGTACTTAAATCTTACATTTTTTTATTATTATTTGGATCAATAATTATGTTTGTCATGATCATAATCTAGAAATACCATCTGTTATAAAAAATGTTGTCCATTCCATTGTATCATAAATAAAGATTTGAATTGAGATAATATACTTCAATTGTTTATTTAAAATTATTAAAATTTTTATGAAGCCTTAAATTGCTGCTGAGGGCTATATTTTTTTTAATTCTTGATATGGGTAGAACTTGAAAATATTAAAAAGTCATGATTATATTTTGATAATGAATGCAGAATTGCTTTTATACTAGCAGCTATAGTGATTTGCCATTTACTAAAATTAGACAGCAACTTCATCCTAAATCAATTTTAGCTTTACTGTGATGTTAAGGTTAATTGAGTTGTGTCAAGGTTTGGCTGTATCTGAGTTGTTTCAGCATTAACTGATCTGTATCAATTGGTTCGGATAAATTTAGCAAAGGAGGTCCATTTACATTGCATATAATGCAAGCTGTTAAAATGGTACAAAACTCAAGAATGAATGAATATCACTATAATGCCAGTACTATTGATTGATGTGATCAAAATTTCATCACAAGGAATATATAAATGAATATTTTATTGGAGAGACAATTTCAGCCATTCAGAATGCTGTTACAAAGTACTGTGCTTGATTAATCTGTGAATGATTTACTGTACCTATAAATCAATATAATTCCCTGTCTTGAATAAACTTGCATATTATATGGCCTATGTTATTGATCTTTTATTTAAATGATTGATTTGTCATTATGGTGGGAATTTATGATGGTGTTCATTAAAATTAGGCAGTCCCTTTATCTGATATGTTACAGAAAAAGAAACTAATTTTCATGTGAACTTTTTTTGATGATCAAGTGGGAGATTTTACTTCAAAAAGAGGGAGATTTTAGAATTTGCAATAAACAAAGAAGAAAGTTTTGACATCAAAAATAGGGAGATTTCTTTAATTTGTGAAAATACCCCTGATTTAAAGAATTTTTTTTTGAAAATATGGCTGCAGAAAGTGGAAGTCTCCCTCTAAAAGTGGGAGAGTTCACATGACTTGTATGATTAACTTGGCAATATGAATTAAAGACCTGACCTATGATTTGATTGTAGAATTATAAACTGTCCACTTATGAAAATTTTCACCTTTTTCAGACCATTACAGTATTGAATTATCTGTTGTTTAACTGTTGTTAAAGAACCATTGGTCAAAGGACACAGTCATATTTAAGTCACAATACATATAAATGGTTATATACTTGGGTTATTACTGGCTTCATTTATCAGAACAATCTTTTGGCTTTAATAATATGGCTAATTGTCATTATTTCTTGAATACTAAAGCAATATTTGATAATAACAGAAGAATGAAGAAAAAAAAACTTCAAAAATTGTTTGAAGAATGAATAAAATACAATATACATGTGAAATAAATGAGAAACGAAATGTGGCTCCATTGATTTTGTTGAGGCATTATTTACATAAGTTGTGCAACTTGCTCAGTGACATTTTATGATACACACTGCTTAAACCTAAATTGATGACTCAGCTAAATCAACTAAATTTCAGCATTTTTTTTATTTGAAAATCCTGCAATGTTTGGATTAGAGATTGATATGTTAAAACTTGTTGCAGATAAGGTGTATTGTATTATAGGCAGGTAGAAATTGTGTTATTATCATGGACAACCAGTCTTTATAAAAACATGGAGGGCTTATCTTTTAAAGCACTTCTTAAATTTAATTGGAAAGTAAAATCTAAATTTAATTGGAAAGTGAAATCAGTATATTTTTGCTATTGATCAAAAAGGGTATACTGAAATGATTATTTACAAAGTGTTATTATATATCTAATTCAATCAATATTTCTAGCCTTTTTTGCATGTGTATGTTGCCAAATATTATATACAATGAAAGAATTATTTTGAATATATAATTATGTAAACAAAATTTTTTATCCAACAAATTGCCTAAAGAAATGAAAGGAATAGTTTTCACCTTTTCAGATTTTGTTTTTTTTTCAATACATAATTTAATGTCAATATTCATTTAGAAATAGAAATAAAATCAATTATTTCAAGACCATTTAAAGGTTTTAGATTGTCTGTTTTTTTTTTGCACTTGTTAGTCTTCTCTATAAATGCACAAATATAAGCCAAAGCTGAAAATGAAAAAGTACCATTAAATGATTTCTTAAATTAAATCCTTGAGGGCATTGTAAAATTGTACTAAAATGTACAGTAACATTTGTTAATAATGGGTTTTATAGATAAATTTAGAAGTCGTTGCAGAGTAAAGTTATAATATATAGTAAAGTATATATACATGTATAATATCAAATGATCTTGAATGCTTTTTAGAAGTCATTTTTATGAAACTTCACAATACAGATCAAATGTTATCTAATATACTGTAATACCATGACACTTAAATAGCTTAATAAAACATCCATTGTGTTACGGAAATAGTAATAAATGTATTGTATAGATAAACATTACAAATAACACTAGTAGGTCCATTCACTTTTCACTGTTATCAAAGATTGGTTTTTGTTTATATTAGATAATCAGATAAACCTTAAATTAACCAGTGATAATATGTATTATTACTTGTCTATGCACAAGTTATTAGTTTTTTGTGAGCCTGGTTAATTCTGCACCTAAAAAAACCTTTTTCTTTTATTTGGCCTATTAACTGTAGTATCTTGACATTAAAACCTGTATATTTAACTATTGCAGGACATGTTCCAAAGTTAAGTGAGGTCAAGTTCATTATAAATGTAAATTTAGGTATTTTGAAGTTTTAAAGTTTTTCATAGCAGGGAATGTTTACAGGTGTTTTCCTTTCTGAAAAGTTTTTTTAAAATCATACAGTTTTCATGTTTTTACTTTAAATCCCCTTTTGCAAAAGATTCAGTGTTATTTTTCCAAAAATTTAAGGGATGGGGTGGCCAGGTTCCCTTACCTTCCTTGTAGTATTAAGATCATCAAAATAAAGGAAGTGGTTTCTTAATTGACACCATTTCTTTGTGTAAAATAATGTGACTGAACTAATTTATAACTGAAAGTCACACATTAAAAATACATATGGTAATGTTATATAGATATTCTAGTGTTACAGCTTGATTAAAGCTCTTGTTTAATGTTAAAATCATGTTATTTAAGTATAACTTTACTGTTTATTTTTTAACATGACCATTTAACATGCATCTAACACGTCGGCTTTGTTTTGTCAGTTTCTAAACTTTTCCCTAAAATCATAAGCCCCCTTAAGCTTATTTTTCTTAAAGTAAAAAAGATATTTTGTTAACACAGTGACTCAGAGTGCTTCAGTTTGGAAAGATTTGCCATGTAAAGTGAAAGTGTTTTTCAAGGAAAAATGCCTTTGTGTTTTAATTTGACATGCTAAGACAAGTTATCAAGGACAATTTCAGAACAAGATAATTTTATTACCTGGAAATGTTTGGACTCAGCTGTTAAATCACATCACCACTCCAGGTGATTGTTGTGTTTAAATATCCTGATGGTGATGTCATAATAAATTTCATCGTGGAAATTATATCAATAGCTTGGCTTACAGAAGGTTTTATTTATATCCATGTTTGGGTGTGTACCTAAAAGAACACCCTGTCACTCGGAGGGCCAAATTATAAGTTCTTCAACATCGGTTAACTTACTTTATGAGAAGGATACAGTAGGCATCTGCAAAGAGGTACAGAAGAAAATACATATGTCTGCATAAAAGTCAAAAGAAATTTATACTGCCATAGAAATTAAACTTTGTTTAAACTTTGTTATAATTTAAATCATAAACAAGACTTTATTTTATGGCTAGACAAGGGTTAATGTTTATGTTTTATTTTTCAGATAATTGAAGCTATTGCAGGGGCTATAGCAGCAATTGAAGGATGTAACTTATTGGACGTAGATCCTGGGGCTTCTACAAATCGTACAGTATACACATTTGTTGGCTCACCAGATGCTGTAATAGAAGGGGCATTATGTGCAGCCAGGGTGGCTTATCAGGCAATAGACATGAGGATGCATCAAGGTAATATATATATTTACTTACTTTAAGAATAGAACTTTTTTGACCTTTTCTGTCATTCATCTATTTAATGGGCTCTACCTGTTTAATGATAGGAATGGTCATATTTGTTTGTATTTACCCATACCTTACTTCAGATATCTTAAATGGACTTTTAAGTCCTTTAATCTATACAAAATCATCATATATAATTATCTTTAAGGAAAAAAATTTAAAGAAGCGAACACAGTAGACCATGATCACATTTCAATAAAATGTTAGTTGATCTTGGTCTGCACTGGTTGCATGGGCAGATTCTATAACTGCCAGTAGACAAAGGGTTAAAATAAAGGGGAACATCCTAGAATTATTTAGTTGAATGAAATATTTTTTGTTTTAGGAAACGATCTTGTTAAAAAACATTTCTTTGGAACATTTTATTTATTTAAAAAAAGTAATTTTGTTTTATAAGAACATTCTTAAATGAAATATTTTTGTTTTAGGGGAATATAATTTCTATTAAGTTACAAGTATTTGATATTGGAACATCCTATGTAGTTTAAACAATATCTTTTTGTTTTGAGTGGAACATCCTTTGTAGTTAAAAGAAATATTTTTGTTTTAGTGGAACATCCTTTGTAGTTAAAAGAAATACTTTTGTTTTAGGGGAACATCCTAGGATGGGATCACTGGATGTTTGTCCATTTATCCCTGTACAGAATGTTACAATGGATGACTGCATAGAATGTGCCAGGGAGTTTGGTGATAAACTGGCTGGAGAACTGGGCATTCCAGGTAGATAATTTATGTTGTTATTTTTTTTATATCTGTCAATGATATATTTCAAATCTATCTTGGATTGGATTAGCTTTGGCAGGCACCTTCAGGAATGGATATTTCAATCCAAACCACAATAAAATAAATCATTGTGAATCTTGTTCTTTCAATGTTATGTAATCAAAAAGAAATTCATTTTAACTCTTGTTCTATATGTTACCCAATTAAATGCATGTATTTCAGTGTAACTCATATTCTATATGTTATGCAATAAAATAATTCAGTGTAACTTCTGTTCTGTATGTTACCAAATTAAATACTTTATTGTAACTCATGTTCTATTTGTTACCCAATTAGATAATTCAGTGTAGCTCTCATTCTATATGTTACACAATTAAGTTTTCCAGTGTAACTCTCATTCTATATGTTACACAATTAAGTTTTCCAGTGTAACTCTCATTCTTTATGTTACACAATTAAGTTTTCCAGTGTAACTCTCATTCTTTATGTTACACAATTAAGTTTTTCAGTGTAACTCATGTTTTCTATATGTTACACAATTAAATTATTCAGTATTACTCATGTTCTTTATGTTACACATTTAAATGATTCAGTGTTACACTTGTTCTATATCTTGAAATACATTTTTGATATAAAAAATACATTAAAAAGTCTTTTTTATATGTTTTACAGTGAAAATTTTGCTATTTCAGTGTAAAATGTGTTCAATATTTTACCTATTTATTTCAGTGTCACACTAGCTGTCTATATTACACATTTATTTCAGTGTCACACTAGCTCATTTTATTTCACATTTATTTCAGTATATTTGTATGGTGAAGCAGCAACACAGGAACCAGGAAAACTTACCCAGATACGAAGGGGAATATGAACCCCCAAAAAAGGTAATTTTTTTTTGCTTTAAAATTTAAAATTGTAACGTTCTTTTTGGGGTTTAACAGGGTTTTAGATTTTGGCCCGGGGAATTACGGCAGAGCAAACCTATTCAGGCCTGTCTCTTATATTTAAAGTACTAGTCAAAAGGTTATAAAATTTTTTTGAGAACATAAAAAATCTAAAATTTTTCTTTGGTAAACTCACTCTTCATTTTTTATCAAAAAATCTGAGATTTTTTAGAGGGAGAGAATTTTTTTTAATTTAAAATGTATCCCCGAAGCGAAACTTAAAAAGTGGGTTAAAATAAAAAAAGATTTTAAATTAGATTTAAAGGGATGTAAAGGGAAAACAAAAAAAGAGGGCAGCAAAGACAAAGGTTACATAAAAATTTCGACATTAACAGTAAATAGTGGAGTAAACACCTAGCACAATTTAGAGTCAGACCCCCCGCTTAACCGTACGCCTGATTTTAGACTTTCCCGTTGATGCCAGGGTTTTAATTTGATAAATTTTGTCCAAAGGAAAAAGAAGGATGGAATTTTAGTCGCCCAAAAAAATTTCCCGTCAAAAAAAGGGGCCAAGGGAGTTTTTTTGGTTTAAATCAACCGTTTAAAAATTTTAAAACACTAATTTTACTTGAGAAAAAAGTTCACCCGGGGCCGGGCCCTTTTTGGGGTTTTTATCTCCGGAGAAAAGAAAGAGACCCGGGGAATGGGGACGTGTTCAAACCCCCTTCCGGTTTTTTAGGTGTACACCGGAAAAAGAAATTTTCTTTAAAGAACTTTAATCTTTTTTGGCATTTATATTATTTTTAAAAACACATAGGACGGGGAATTTTTTAATTAAAAAATTTTTAAAACCGGGGACATTAATTTCTTTTTCCGGTTTTGCTTTCGAAAGGGGCCCCCAGAAAACAATGAGGGTTTAATTTTCAAAAAAAACCACGACTATAAGAAACTTTTTTCAAATTTCCGATAAAATCCTTTTTTTTTGTACTTTTAAATTTTTTATAGACAACTTTCCGAATAGTAAAACAACCCGGCATGGGACTTTTTTTTAGCGTAAATTTAAAAAAATAAATCCAATTGCGAGAAACCTGAGGAACCCACGCAAAAAAAAAAAAAGGCGCAGGAAAAAGGCAGCCCGACTAAAACGTAGAAAAAAAAACGCCCTTTGGTTAATTTAAGGACCAGTCAAAAAAGGAAACCAAAACAACATTGCCAAACCCCCGAATACGGGATATTTTTCCCCTTTTTCCAGTTCTTTATTTGCTTTTTTTTTCCAAAGAAACTACTTTCCCAATCCCCCCCAAACCAAAATACCATTTTTACTACCCCAAATTTAAAACCAATAAAACAAAAAACATAAAAATTTTTAAAATTTTAAAAGATATTGGAACTGAAAAAAAAAAAGTGTTGCATTTTAGAAAGCGTTTTTTACAGTAAAGAAAGGTGTGGGAAAAATTTTCCCCCGAAGGGGCATTTAGGTTTACGATAAAAACGAAAAAAAAATTTTTTTCTTCATTAGAATATTTTACAAGGGGGATTAACCAAACAGGGGAAAAATTGTGCGACAAAAAGGCTTTGGAAAAGGGCATACAAAGGAAACAATAAAAACGCAGTAAAAAGGTGACACAACAGGTGCAAATTTGGAAAAAAATTAAAATAGAAAATGCACAGTATTAGACATAAGTAGTAAGAACCAGCAATTGTGTGAATAAATTATGCAAATTAGATTTTTGAGCAGCCAATAAAAATGTTTTGCCTGCAGTTAATATTAGGCAACGATTACGAATGTAAATAAATACCACGCAGCATCATACGTTGACAGACATGTTAACAATTTACTTTTCAAAAGAGTTGCTTATATTTTTGAAATGTGTACATCAATTATAACATTATGTTCACACCTTTTAATTTGAAAGTCAGAATCAAACTGCAAAAATTTAATTACATGTACTATTAAGAACACGTTTTAGTAGGAATTTTATAATAATGACAATTATCGCCGTTCAATAATTAACAGCCAATTATTCGTTGGTGCCTTTGTTTATTTAATTGCATTAATTGATTGTGAAACTTTGTTAAAAAGTAACATGTGTATTTATTAAATCTGTGAAATATTGTTTAATTACATTAAGATGAGACTTGAATGAACATAGCATTGTTTGGAGTAACGGGCATCACTGGCCTGAAGTTGTGCGACCAGTAGACGTTGATTTTTTTATTTGTTTCTTTATTTTTCATTATTTACTATTTTTGGATATTTTTACGTATTTTGAACCAAAAAAATCATCTCTACACCTCCTGTCAAAATTAATTTGTCTGGTTAATACTTTATTATATAAATATTTCGCTACGATTCTACTAGATTTAGATGTGGGGAAATGACATCACGCGCACCTGTTTTTATACGGCCAATACACAATCATGGCCGCGTCTACTGATTTGTAGAAATCGGTGATTAAGCGATTTAAATTTTGTTATCATTTGTTGAATATCATTATTTGGCGGCAGAAAATTTGCAGATTTATTATTTTAAGTATTCTTTCTCTGAAATCAAGTTTTTATTCTAACCTTGTCTTTCCCTTTAAACCACTTTTGGGCTGTTCCAAATTTAAAGTAGGAAAAATGTGGTTAATATTCAACTCTGATAATGTGTTTGTAATTATGTCACCTTTTTTATACACAGTATAGATGAGAGTAATGTTTGTGTATGCATGCATGTGTGTTTATGATTGTATTGAAGTCGAATGCTTTTGGATGCTGTAAACTATTGTGTTATACTACTTAAAAAGTCTTTACTAAATATATCAAAATGGTAATTGTTTTTCAGCTTACAAAGGATGAATGGAAACCAGATTTTGGACCAGCTGAGTTTGTACCATCATGGGGAGCAACTGCTGTTGGGGCTCGCAAGTTTCTTATAGCCTACAATATTAACATGCTGAGTACAAAGGAACAGGCTCACAGGATAGCTCTCAATATACGTGAACAGGGTCGCAGCAAAGACGAGGTATGTTTAGGAAATACACGTCAGTTTTGAAGTTGTAATTGTACACAATTGCACAGTTCGAGTACAAATGCACAGAAATATAATCATTTGTAATATTAATTTTAAAGAATTTTAATGATGAACCATGCATTATAGTACTTCAAAAGAAAAATTGATGTTATCTTTTTCATCCTAAAATGCTAATAGAAAGAGAAATGATAAAAAATATGTAGGACCTCTTAATGCTACAGGTTTTGATTCTGCTGCAAACTTTGGATTCAGCTGGTCAGTGTTTCTACTTGCTTGTGCATTAAGTCATGCAATATATTTATTGATAAATTAACCATATCATTCTTATAAAGATTATTTATTACTTACCATTACATCTATTTCTGAACCTTATTAGAAGCATGAGTAGTTGAATTATTAGCATTGCTAAGAATATTTTTTTGCATCATACATTTAACAGCCAGGTAGATTGAAAGAAGTTCAGGCAATAGGTTGGTACTTGGAGGAGGCTAACATGGCGCAGGTGTCTGTCAACATCACTGACTTTGAGCAGACGGCAATACATACAGTGTATGAGGAAGTCTGTAAAGATGCTGAGGTAAATCATCTATGTAAATAAATACATATAAACTCCAACATGCACCTTAAAGACAATCTCTCAATGAATGCAAGAATATATTTCTTTTCTGTTTGGATCAGAAATAGTACAAAATTGCTTTTATAACGAAACATTACTTGCTTTCAATGGTAACAAATAATTGTATATTTCTGTATACATGCATATGACATAATGATTTTATCAGCTGTATGTAAAACCCTGTAGTGATGGCACTTTGAAAAAGGCTTGTCATGTGATACTTCAAAAGAAGGAAAATGATCATTCAGATCAGATTTCTGTAATAATTAACATATTTAACTAGTTATTCTTAGTTAATGTTTAGATATAATGGTCAAGGTCTTTTTGAATAATATTCTTATCAAAGTATTTTGAATTATTAGTACTTTAAACATGTGAATGGATCATATTTTTTAAAATAAATGTACGCTAAGAAAGAACTAAACGTAGCTATATTTGGAGTATTATTTTCCCACAGGAGTTGAACATTGCTGTGGTTGGTTCCCAGGTAGTAGGACTGGTTCCCCTTGAAGCAATAATGGCATGTGCACAACATTACATGGAGAAAAGTAACTTGTTTATTCTAGAGGAGGACCAGAAGCTAAGACTAGTAAGTTGTTCTAGGTTGCTCACCAGTATTTATTGTTGAGTTTTATCATGACCCGGGGCGTCCGTGGCCAAGTGGTTAAGCGTTGACTTCAAACCACTTGCCCCTCACCGCTGTGGGTTCAAATCCCGACAGGGACTTTGGATTCTTTCATGTGAGGAAGCTATCCAGCTAGCTTACGGAACGTCGGTGGTTCTACTCAGGTGCCCGTTTGTGCCTGAAATAATGCACGGAAGGGCACCTGAGGTCTTCCTCCACCAGTAAAGCTGGAATGTCGCGATATGACCTATACTGTGTCGATGTGACGTAAAACCTAAAACAAACAAATTATCATGACCCATTTTAGGAACTTTTTTTCATTGAAATATTTATGCCTTATGCAAAACATTGGTCTGTTATATGAGAGCTTTAAATTATCAAAAAGAGGTCAAAATATGTAACAATAGCCTTTATAGCCTTTAACACATAGAAATATGGTGATTAATACTGCAAAATTAGTCGTTAATCACACATGACATGTATATTATTATTTATTCTTTTACCTTTCTTAAAATCTTAGCACATTCTTAGCACATTTTTCACAAGTTTGATGTTCTTGAAATATGTTTGCCGTTTGGAGGCATGAAGCTTTAACACCATTTAAGCATTAAATGTTTTTAACTTTTGCTTTGAACTATCTTTTTGTTCAGCTTTCTGTTTATGCTAATAGCACAACTTTCCATTCTAACAATTCTAATAAATAGCAATGAGCTTTTTAAGTCAGAAATATCTTTTATATTACTTTAAATATTTTCTGAATTCTGTAACTTTTTTATGATTCTATCTATTTATTAAACTAACATATGCCTCATGTATTTTCAGGTTATTAATAAATTAGGCCTCAATTCACTTGGTCCATTTAGTCCTAAAGAAAGAATTATAGAGTAAGTACATAGGAAACATATATGGAATTCAGCTTTGGTTAATGACACTTTGTAATGTACTTACATATTATTATTTATAATACAGCATGTTTGTAACGTTGTTTTTCATTGGATAATCGTGACATTTATATAGTTTTATATACACAGCTGCTGTCAATATATGAAAAAAATCACAATTGTCCAATGAAATTTGATGTCACAAACATGCTGTATTATGAAGATGTTATGTTTGTTTGAATCTTGTTGGACTTCATGGTTGTGCACACTGGCCTATTTGAAATCCTTGGGAAATTGAAAAATTATTTTTTTCATCTTGCATGTAAATAGCAAGTCATGCAGTTATATCTATACTGTAGTTTAGTATTTATTGATTAGAGTATAAAAGCAATTTGTGGTCCCTGACAAGATTTCAATGAATATTAGTTTCACTAGTGAATCAGATAAAAGCTTACTATGATTATAATAAACAAAACCTAGAAGCAAACACAACTGTTGAGTAATTGCTACCATAAGCTCTTTATCTACTAAAACATTCTGCTTTTGCAACTTTTAAAGAGCTCTGCTGAGGTCCCAAACCCTAAATACATAAAATTTAATAATTTCTTTTACAGATTTACTGGGGCACTTAAAACTGAGAAATATGTTTAAGAAAATACAGAAATATATACACAGAATTAAATTGAAAATCAATTTGTAGCCCAAATTGAGTTAATAACATTAATACTTGAAATACTTATCATTGGTAATATTTTTGCACCCTGAAATTTTGTATAGAAGATTTGGTATAGACCCACATCAAATGATATAAAAATCCTGAAAAAATATTTTCAGTGCCATCATGTCAAGAAAAAACCTCAGTGGAGTCCCTTTAACTGACCAATGTTAATTTTAAAACACATCTTTATAAGTCTTTATAATTATTGTTTAATATATTCAAGAAGATGGAATTAACTAGTTAATATTGTTTGTTTTCAGAGTTATTTAGTACTTCTTGCCACAAAACATTTTATTTAGAAATAGAACATAAATATATCCATATATTTGTACAGGTATATGATAACAGATGAAAGAGAAGGCCCTCTAGCAAGTATGGATGTGAAAGACTTTATCCTGACAGTTGGGTCAAGGTCACCATCACCTGGTGGTGGATCAGTGTCAGCACTGGCTGCTTCATTGGTAGGTTCACAATTTTTTAGTATTTTCCTCTTGGTTTTGAACCATTTCATCATGTCATGCCTTCATTTTAATTTCCTCTTTTTAGGAAATTCAGCCTTTAAATCGGGTATGTCATTTTAATTTGTTTATAAATTGAGCAGCCTTTGTGTCAGTCTTTTTCATTTGTCTTATAGGGAGCAATTATGGGATAAATTATTACAATTTGTAAATTTTAAGGAGCTGCCCTCATGTCAATTACTTTATTACTTGTTTGTTGTAGGGATTATATTGATTATTTCATTATTTGTATGTTTTAGGGAGCAGCCCTCACATTAATTATTTTATTATTTGTATATTTTAGGGAGCAGCCCTTGGATCAATGGTAGGGTTTTTGACATACGGTAACAAGAAGTTTTACGAGTTGGATGGTCAGATAAGAAAGTTAATCCCACCACTTTATAAGGCAATGAAAGATCTTACACCATTCATAGATGCTGATGCCCTGGCGTTTAGTGAATACATGGTAGGTAAAACATGTGAAGTAATTGAGTGACACTAAAAAACGTGTTGCAGCACGACACTTAATACCGTATTCATATATACCAGACAAGGTGCTTGAATGATCAAATGCTCAAATCTTGTCTATTCTGCCGAAATGCACTTTTAAATGCAATTCTTCCACACTTTTTAAAAATGAAAAAAATAAAAAGTAAGAATTTTTTAATTTTTTATTCAGTTTTTAAAAATTTTATAAAAGTGGAAATACATTGTAAGTTTGATAAAACCTTCACACTAAGCTTTTTTTGAAACTTTTCCTTGTTAATGAAAATTTTATGTTTATTAACACATTTTTTTTCATTTAACTTTTGTGTTTTGAGAAAATGAAATTAAAGAACTAACAAGAGAAAAATTAAAATCTATTAAAGAACAGTTAGACTTTTCATGAATTTTGCGTGTAAAAAACTTTTTCAAATGAAGAAAAAATTTTAACTAAAAAAAAGAATAACGGCAAAATATAGCAAAGATTTAAAAAAAAAATTTTCCATGTCACAAAAACCACATCCCGGGTTGGATGTTAAAAAAAAATTTGCTTATTTTTTTACTTATACTTTTTTCTACAGTTTGGCAAAAATTCCAGCAGAGACGAAGAAGAACAAGAATGAAAGTAAACAATAAAAGTTAATTTAAATTTAAAATCCCATGACCCGGGGCTAAAAATAAAGAAAATCGTAGTCGTACTTTTTGAGATTTTTAAACTGTTGGTTGTTCCCTGCACGAATAGGGACAGCAAAAAAGTGTCGCTTTTTTGTCTACACGCTGATGTAAAACATGTAGGTTTAGAAAAAGGTAATTTAAGTAAGAAATAAGTAAGTAAAAAACGATTTTATTTATGGGGGCTAAACTTTTCTTTCCCGTTTTCCCATGCGGGTCCCACGCTTTTAACGGGTTATTACCAAGACACTTTGTTGGATCACAGTCGAATATTAACAAAAATTGGAAAACATTTTAAAGAAAAAAAAAAAAACAACAAAAAAAACTAGACGGTTGTGAACCCAAAATTTTTCTGTTTTTTGAACATTCCAATTACTGGGGGTTTTTTTTTCAAATGAAAGAAATGAGACCGTTTTACTTAAATTTTGGGCGGGGTTGGGGAAACACTGAGCCCCATTGATAATTTTTTAATACAAAAAAAAATTTTCAATTTTGAAAATCACCCCGTGATCAGAAATAATTTAAGGGGTTATGATTCACCTAATCCCGCTTCACTGAAAAAAATAAAAAAGCTGATATTTTTTGTAAATTCACGCAGAAAGGGTTTTCAAATTTTAATTTTTAATTTTTATTTTTTAAATTTAAGGTTTTTGTTGTGAAGAGGAAAAAATGAGGGCAAAATTTGTTTGAAAGCTTTTTGAGAAAAAACCATTTTAAATTTTTGACAGACGTTTGCAGCAAGCAAGAGGCCCTATTACAGTATACAGGACCAGACTGACCAGACAAAACTAAGGTTTGTGGAACCCTTTTAAAAAGGAACCCCCAAAGAAAAACTCAACTTAAACGTTTTAAGGTAAAATTGTGTCTTGAACCGGTTGATCCTGAAGGCATAATTTTTCCCAAAAACTCATCTCAGACATTTATCAAGCTTGCCTATTTTCCCTTAGAAAAGTTTAATCTGCTGTTTTACAGAAAGGGGGGGGGGGGGGACGAAAAGTTTTCATCATCCATTTGTTTAAAAAACATACTTAGCTAAGGCGGTTTTCCCTTTTTTCTTTACAGTTTTTCGATTGAAAGGATCGCATTTTTTTGTAAACCCAAAAACTTCATTTTTTAAATTTTTGAAAACTCCTTTGGGTCGGGAGAACTTTCCACCAACTTTTTTTTTCCCCCCCGAATTTTTACCGCAAAGCAATGGGGAAAGATGGGAGGTTTTCTCTTGATTTGAAATCGTGGGAATTAGTTTTGTCCAGGGGGAAATTGGAATAGGTTGGGACAATAAATGAAATTGGGAAGGTTTGGGAAAACAGACTGCTGTGATACACCAAAAAGTGTGTTATAATTGTGAGACAAACAAAAAACCAAAGTGTTTTGGCCGGTAGGTTTTTTTCAAATACTGTTTTGGGGATGGGTTTAAAACATTTAACTCCACGCCAGGGGGCAAATTCCCCCAGGTTCTTTGGGGGCTTTATGGAGGGATCCGCTACTTATGGGTTGGGGGGTTCAAACCCGGGTTCCCCTTTTTTGGCCGAAATAAACGAGGGCACCGAGGGGACCCCCCCCCATACTGGAAAGCGTTTTTTACATTTTTGTGTTTTGGGGCACCCTAAAAACCCGACAAACTTTTTTTTTAGGTTTGAAGAATGCGGGACAGGATTGGGGGGCCTTTTTAATGTAAAAAAACCTAGGGGATGTCACAATGAAATTTTAAAAAAGTAAAAATTATGCATGCTTTTTTCGAATTTAAATTTTTTAAAATTTTTGGCACCTAAAAGGGAGTATTTTTGAAAATTTAGATAAAAATTTTACACCACAAACAGGGAATCTAGTTAACAAAAATTCATGTACAAGATTGTAAATGCATATTTATTTTAAAAAATCTAAATGTTTTCAAACTTTTTTTAATTTCACTCCCATACTCTGCTGAAGCTCAAACCACTTGCCTCTCCTGCGTGGTTCAAATGCCCCAAAAGGGCCTTTTTAACATTTTGTGAAAACTAGGGGAAATTGGTTTTTCCAGGGCCCGTCATGCTTAAAAACACCATAAAGCGGGAAAAACCCAAGACGCAGTTTGTTTGGTGGGACACAAACACACCCACACACACCCCCCCCCCAAAAGAAAAAAAGAAGAAAAACAAGAAAAAAAAAAAAAAAACAGAAAACAAAAAACCTTGGACTTAGTAAATAATGTTTATTTGTCTTCTTACTGCTGATTCAGAAAATCATATGGAATAAGCAGTTGATCACTTGTGGAATGCTTGAAAGTTACTGGTCAGTTATCCACTAAAGCCAATTATGTGGGACCCAGCCGACCATCTCCAAAAAATGAACAAAAAACAAATGAGCCGCGTCTCGACAAAACCAACATAGTGCGTTCGTGACCAGCATGGATCCAGACCAGCCTGCTTCATCCACTGCAGTCCTGATCAGGATCCATGCTGTTCGCGTTACCAAATCTATTACAAGTAGAGAAATTGATAGCGAACAGTATGGATCCTGATTAGACTGCACGGATTGCGCAGGGCTGGTCTGGATCTGTGCTGGTCGCAAACCCATTATGTTGGTTTTGTCATGACGCTGCTCAAATGATCCTCCATACAACAAAACCAACATGCATGTAATACAATAATTCACTTTTAGGTATCAGAAAGAAATAGAAGGTGGGCTGTCAAGAATTGCAACAAGAAAAATTGTGGCAGCAATTCTGAAGATTTTGGAGGAAAGGAAAGCCTAAGATCTAGTCAGACTTACTCTCTATGTGCTATGCCTTAAGTAATCTTGCATGACTATTATCTCCACTATGTGTTATTAATGGATTGTTATGTCATGTTAAATTATTGGATTATTGGATGTTATTTCATAGCCAGATTGAAAAACATGTTAATATGATAAATGATTTATCTGGAGAGGAAATAAGTTTGTTGATCAAAAAAATTGGTAACATTTGATTAGTTGCTTTTTGAAAGAAATTACCATTTTACTTCCAATGGTTTTTTAATTTTATAAATTCATAAGTTTTCTATTTGCCAGATAAATATTTTAGAATTATAGGAATAATGTTGAAAAAAAAACACATCAAGGTGTGAATGCTTATAGTTTGACTAAAATGAATTTTTTTCTTAATGGGGAAAATAGACAAAAGTTTACAATTGAAAAGATTTATTTAATACAACAGGTAATGATAAGAAAATATCCTAGAATTCAATAAAACAATTTTCATATACCAAAGATGTGATAGACCAGTTTAAGGGTACTTTTATGCTTCAAACATTTAAAGCCTTTTAAATGTGACACAAAGTTTTTTATTGAGTAGCATAATCTAGTTATAAACTTGAAGGACAAAATGTTGGAGTATACTTATATAAGTCTAATTATAAAAAAAATCCAGGGTCTCACTGCCCTTCCTGGCATGGAGGTTACGGATCCTTCCTCCACCTCACCCCTCTTAAAATCTGATTTGAGTAATCTTGAATTTGATTTTTAATTCTCTGCAAAACAAAATTTATTGGTTTTTACTAATATAGAAGATTTCAAGTTTTCTAAATTATCAGGGGTAAAAGGGTTATAACATGACATAATCAATTTATAGAACTTTCAAAACCTGCCTTG